ATTAAATGAAATCTACGAAAACGTTCCATCCATTGTAATCGTTTTTAACTTGTCACAAAGCCAGCAGTTTATCGTAAATTATAAATTAACCTGTTAAAGAAAGAATTCATAAAAATAACAAAAAAATAATGAATAAACAACGTATGGTGAGTTTCTATGCAACTTATAATTTTTAACTAACCAAAACTAATGGTAGGTTAAAAAATCAGTTAATTTATTATCAGAAACTCATATTGCGTTTATAAAAAGAAATTATAATTCATAGCGAATTATAAATTGGGATTAGCAGCTAAAATATGACCTAACAATTTATGCTGGGTTGCTAAAAATTGAAAACTAACTAAACTAAAACTAACCAAAAAAAACTTATAGGGATTAGCAACTAAAATGTGTCATAACAGTTTGTGTTACTACAGTACACAACTAACCAAAACTAATCAAAACAACTGGTTGGTTAAAAAATCAGTTAATTTATTATCAAACCATTATATTGCGTTTATAAAAAGAAATTATAATTCATAGCGAATTATAAATTGGGATTAGCAACTAAAATATGACCTAACAATTTATGCTGGGTTGCTAAAAATTGAAAACTAACTAAACTAAAACTAACCAAAAAAAAACTTATAGGGATTAGCAACTAAAATGTGTCATAACAGTTTGTGTTACTACACAACTAACCAAAACTAATGGTTGGTTAAAAAATCAGTTAATTTATTATCAAAAACTCATATTGCGTTTATAAAAAGAAATTATAATTCATAGCGAATTATAAATTGGGATTAGCAGCTAAAATATGACCTAACAATTTATGCTGGGCTGCTAAGAATTGAAAACTAACTAAACTAAAACTAACCAAAAAAAAATTAATACTTCTAGGGATTAGCGACTAAAATGTGTCATAACAGTTTGTGTTACTACACTACACAACTAACCAAAACTAACCAAAACTAATGGTTGGTTCAAAAATCAGTTAATTTATTATCAAAACCTCATATTGCGTTTATAAAAAGAAATTATTATTCATAGCGAATTATAAATTGGGATTAGCAGCTAAAATATGACCTAACAATTTATGCTGGGTTGCTAAAAATTGAAAACTAACTAAACTAAAACTAACCAAAAAAAAACTTATAGGGATTAGCAACTAAAATGCGTCATAACAGTTTGTGTTACTACAGTACACAACTAACCAAAACTAATCAAAACTAATGGTTGGTTAAAAAATCAGTTAATTTATTATCAAACCATTATATTGCGTTTATAAAAAGAAATTATAATTCATAGCAAATTATAAATTGGGATTAGCAACTAAAATATGACCTAACAATTTATGCTGGGTTGCTAAAAATTGAAAACTAACTAAACTAAAACTAACCAAAAAAAAACTTATAGGGATTAGCAACTAAAATGCGTCATAACAGTTTGTGTTACTACACAACTAACCAAAACTAATGGTTGGTTAAAAAATCAGTTAATTTATTATCAGAAACTCATATTGCGTTTATAAAAAGAAATTATAACTCATAGCGAATTATAAATTCGGATTAGCAACTAAAATATGACCTAACAATTTATGCTGGGTTGCTAAAAATTGAAAACTAACTAAACTAAAACTAACCAAAAAAAAAACTTATAGGGATTAGCAACTAAAATGTGTCATAACAGTTTGTGTTACTACACAACTAGCCAAAACTAATGGTTGGTTAAAAAATCAGTTAATTTATTATCAAAAACTTATATTGCGTTTATAAAAAGAAATTATAATTCATAGCGAATTATAAATTGGGATTAGCAACTAAAATGTGTCATAACAGTTTGTGTTACTACACTACACAACTAACCAAAACTAATGGTTGGTTAAAAAATCAGTTAATTTATTATCAAAAACTTATATTGCGTTCATAAAAAGAAATTATAATTCATAGCGAATTTTAAATTTTGGATTAGCAACTAAAATGTGTCATAACAGTTTGTGTTACTACACTACACAACTAACCAAAACTAATGGTTGGTTAAAAAATCAGTTAATTTATTATCAAAAACTTATATTGCGTTTATAAAAAGAAATTATAATTCATAGCGAATTATAAATTGGGATTAGCAACTAAAATGTGTCATAACAGTTTGTGTTACTACACTGCACAACTAACCAAAACTAATGGTTGGTTAAAAAATCAGTTAATTTATTATCAAAAACTTATATTGCGTTCATAAAAAGAAATTATAATTCATAGCGAATTTTAAATTTTGGATTAGCAACTAAAATGTGTCATAACAGTTTGTGTTACTACACTACACAACTAACCAAAACTAATGGTTGGTTAAAAAATCAGTTAATTTATTATCAAAAACTTATATTGCGTTCATAAAAAGAAATTATAATTCATAGCGAATTTTAAATTTTGGATTAGCAACTAAAATGTGTCATAACAGTTTGTGTTACTACAATACACAACTAACCAAAACTAATGGTTGGTTAAAAAATCAGTTAATTTATTATCAAAAACTTATATTGCGTTTATAAAAAGAAATTATAATTCATAGCGAATTATAAATTGGGATTAGCAACTAAAATGTGTCATAACAGTTTGTGTTACTACAATACACAACTAACCAAAACTAATGGTTGGTTAAAAAATCAGTTAATTTATTATCAAAAACTTATATTGCGTTTATAAAAAGAAATTATAATTCATAGCGAATTATAAATTGGGATTGGCAACTAAAATGTGTCATAACAGTTTGTGTTACTACACTACACAACTAACCAAAACTAACCAAAACTAATGGTTGTTTAAAAAATCAGTTAATTTATTATCAGAAACTTATATTGCGTTTATAAAAAGAAATTATAATTCATAGCGAATTATAAATTGGGATTAGCAACTAAAATGTGTCATAACAGTTTGTGTTACTACACTACACAACTAACCAAAACTAACCAGAACTAACGGTTAGATAAAAAATCAGTAAATTTATAATCAAACCATTATTTATATTATGTTTATAAAAAGAAATGAAAACTTATAGGGAATTATAAATTGGGATTAGCAACTAAAATATGTTTCTTGAGGTTTTATAAGAAAAATTATCTGAAGTATGAATAAAATCACACAGCAAAACTTTAACAATTTTCTTCACATTTATGAAATTCAATTTTTTTGTAACTGTAACAGAAAATTACCATATTTTCCGTAGGAAGCCAATTTTAACGCCCACAGTAATTGAAATACCGGATCTTTTTTTCAAACTTTGACGTTTTTGCGAAATACGACCGAAATTAATGCTCACGTGAGCGGCAAAGGATCCTTGTGCGAGTCTGCAAATTAAAATAAGCCACCGAGCAAATCCTTTTTCGGATTTTTAGATTGAGAAACGTCCTCTTACGGCTTAGGCGGAACCGTATAGGATTAATGCTCCCAGATTTGTTACTACTTTGCCACGAATGTGCACGAAATCCTGTCTGCAGTAAGGGGCGTCCATGTTTATCTTGAATTCGAGCCCTTTTTCCATTTTTGTGGTAGAAAAGAGGCTTCTCTAGGCAAAGTTTTGTGCTTATGCTGCTATGACATTTTTTTATTTTTTTTTTTAAGTTCTTTATTTATCCTAAGATAAATAAACGCCTGTGCATCAGATTCTTAGGTAGACGCAAGTTCTGTTGTACATACACGATGAAAGCACTTAATATAACTAAAAAAACTTAGTCGAACATAATGATCTAAAAATAGTCAATATAATAATAATAATAACAATAATAATACATTCATTGTTGTATCAGAAACACAGTTAAAATTACCATAATTTGTATTTAATGCATGTCCAACAAAGGGCTTTTTCTTTTTTAAACAAAAATATGAAGACAATTTTTTACTATTTACACCCATATTGCATCTGTTGCTGTAAGCCAATTTTCGATTTGCATCAGCTGTTCTTAATTTTATTTTGATGTGATCCCACCAAATCTAAACTTTTTCATGGTATGTGAATACGGAGAGGTGCGCCATAATAATAATACTGACGATTTAGTTGGGTTTAGCTGACACAGATGATCATAGGCAGTTTTCTTAAGTTACCATAGAGCAGCATTAATGAGAATTTTGGCTTTTTAGTTTAAGTAAAAGGAAATGAATATTTGATCTGAAATGCTCCTGTAAAATTAGAAGCATCAATATATGACAAGAGAGCCAGGATACTACACTGTGGTACTTCCAGTCGAATACTTGTTACTTTCGAAAATCGATGATACCGAATTTTTCGAAAGTATCTGCGCTCGTATAAAAATTTTATGTCTCGGTCCGTTCTTCGTTCTCTGTTCTCCGTTCTCGTCTTTTGGTTTTTCCTGAATGGCGATATAGCGATTTCGTCTATCACATACGCTGTTCGAGATATTTGAAAAAATCCAAATGAAAATCACCATTTCTTGCCCTCAATCTAGACGCGATGACGTCATTTACTATTACCACATACTGCGTGGTTTTAGGAAACAAGTAATTGCTTGAAAACTATTTACTCTATTGGAAAAATTCGTATACCAGGAAACTAAGGAGATCCAGGGCGATATCCTCTATTGCAACGTTATATACAGGGTACCTCGTTTATGGGCAAAAAATTCTAATAGATTCTAGAAATTTCCGGTGTTGTGGGTGAATTCTTGACGATAAATGAAAAACTTTTGAAGATGTAATAATTTGATATGAACAGTATCGTAAATTTTGTCGAAAGAGAGTTTAAGGTTTCATCTATATCACAGCTGATTAAAATCTGTGGAGTTTTTTGTTTTTGAAAGAGGTGTTACTTTCTCGTTTTTTCCTTCACTTTGTTTTCAGCAAAACCTTTTTGCTCCAAATTGTTGTGGGTGGTTGGTAGAACTACTCCAAATTTGAATTTCAGAACGAAAGATAAAAAAATAATAAACTGACCGTCATAACCTCACAGATTGTGGATAAACGTCGACGAAATCAATACGCAGTTTTGCGAGGATTACGCGGGATACGTACCTATGGGAATCATCTCCGGTAATCCGTTTGAACACCGCCATTGCAGTGCGCACAAGATCAGAAGCGTCCGCAAATTGATGGCCATGACATCTGAAAACAGAAGAGGGCGCCGTCAAAAGCGTTTGAGAAATAACGAGTTCGAAGTTTGAGATAACGAAACTATTCGTGACGACGAACGCGCAGGGTTTTTTTCACCCTAATGCTAATGATCGTTAGTCGGAAGACACTTTAGCGTATAAAAGGCTTCGAGTGTATCGTTAGCGTTCCATTTGCATCGCGAAATGGAGAGAGTCGCGCCTTGGTTCTGCGACGAGAGATGTTTCGTTTGTTTGCCACTCCACGGGTTTTCCGGCTATTGTTTCCGAAGGTCCCTTTAAGTTAGTAACATGTTGTTGTTTTACATTGAAATTAATAATTTCATCACGTCAGAAAAATGGCACTATCGACAATCTCGTCTTCTAAGCTTTTGTTGTTTTTTAGTTTAACTCAAAAAACTCGTAAAGATTTCTAGCAAATTGGACGTCTGTACTGCAGGATTCCAGTCGGATGCAGGATTTGCAGGATTCCAGTCGGAGTTCAACGAGCGAACGGATGATATCCCGGAATATAGTGTCATCACATTTTTCCATCCGTGAATCAATACGTGAGAATATATATATATATATATATATATATATATATATATATATATATATATATATATATATATATATATATATATATATATATATATATATATATATATATATATATATATATATATATATATATATATATATATATATATATATATATATATAAATATATATATATATATATTTGATCAAACCCTTATGTTGCGTTTATAACAACTTATTGGGCATTTATAAATCAGCAACTAAACGTCGAGCTAACCGCTTTTGATGGGTTTATGAAAAAGCAATGAAATTATGAAATATTAACTTAACAAGTACAAAAAAAGCAGATTGTGTATTTTTTTGGGGTTTTATAAAAAAAAATCTGAAGTATGAATAAAATAACACAGGAAAACTTTAACAATTTTCTTCACATTTATGACATTCATTTTTTTTTGCAGCAATAACAGAAAATTACCATATTTTCGGTAGGAACGCCAATAGTAATTGAAATACTGAATCTTTTTCTCAAACTTTGTGGTTTTTGCGAAATAGGACCGAAATACACTCTCACGCGAGCGGGTTGGGTTTGTAATAATTTAAAACTAATCAAAACTAACCAGAACTAATGATTAGTTAAAAAATCAGTAAATTTATATTCAAAATAATCAAATGTTTTGTTTAAAAGAAAAAATTACAACTTATTGGGCATTTATAAAACAGGATTAGCAATTAAATGATGGCTTAACCACATTTGAGAGTTATAAAAAAGCAATGAAATTATGAAATATTAACTTAACAAGTATAAAAAAAACAGATTGCGGATTTTTTTCGAAATTTATAAGAAAAATTATATGAAGTATGAACGAAGTAACATAGCAAAACTTTAACAATTTTCTTCACATTTGTAAAATTCAATTTCGTTGTAATAATAACTGAAAATTACCATATTTTTGGTAGGAAAATTATTTTCTCAAACTTTATGAGCTGAATATAAGTACCGCCAAACTAGCGACAACTCTAGCTTACTAAAAAAAAATTTTTATCCCCAAAACAGCTCAGAAAGCTACAATTTATGTACAGAATATAGAATGTTTCGCAACAAATTTGAAGGATATTAACGAAAAAAAATTTCTTAAGCAAATTGTAAGTAGTACAATCGGGAGGGGTGCGTAGTCAGCATTTATCATTCGTAGTTTCTACGCTTCCAAGTATTTAATAATAAAAATCCTTTTTGCGTCTCGAAAATCTGCAGATTCCGATCTCAATGCCGCTAGTCACAAAACGTCTCAATGGGATCAGGAAGTTTTTCAATTTATCAACGCTGGGGATGACGACTTCCCCGCCCACCCTAAGTTTCGAAAACACAGATGGAGACGTCTTGAGAAAGTCGTTACAACCGCTTTGAATTTTGACACTTTCACTCGTTTTGAAACGTTCCCTTTACAGTTGGACGAAATGCCGGCAAAAACGATCGCGTAATGGCCACATTTTCGTTCCAATTCAAGGAATATTTTTATAATAATTCTTCTCGTAATAATTTGATCTACGAACAGTAATTGCAATAATAAACAATTAATTGTTGTTACTCTTATAATTATTATTATATCTCTAAATAAAAGATACATCTTCAAATTTTATATATACAATATATACGAAATTCTAGTCAGTATAATAGGAAGCAAATTAAACATTGTGGCTTTAGCAATGTAGATCAAAATTACATTTCGATTTCAATGCAATTTAAATTAACGGGACTCTTTAATTTTTTAAGATTCTATGATAAAATGATTCGCAAACTTTAAGTATAGTAATTTTATACGGGGTTGACGTGTCCTAATTTAATTGGAATTTCAAGTTGCTATAATTTGATTAATTTAAATGAAACATCTTATGTTGTAGCTTACCGGAGGCCGGAATCCTACAGTTTTTTATTTATAAGGTTGTTCGGAAAGTCATTTCGTTTTTTCCCGTCAGAGGACTTAATTACGTTTTTTCGAAACCCACTTCACACTTAAGCCGCATAACCATTATATGTCTTGAGAGCTGATATTGCAAGGCTTGCGTGTGAAAAAGTTCTATTAATTCTACGCAGTAGTTTTTGGTTGGTGCCCTTTTAAATATGGAGAGCAATAAGCAGCATTTTCGTCATATTTTACTTTTTTACTTCAGAAAAGGTAAAAATGCTGTCCAAGCGAGAAAAAAATTGACGGATGTGTATGGAGAAGGCGTGTTAACAGTACTCCAGTGCCAGAACTGGTTTGCAAAATTTCGATCCGGCAATATTGATGTCGAGGATGCACCACGGTCTGGAAGGCCGGTCGAAGCTGACAAAGATGCGATAAAGGCATTAGTTGATGTAAATCGGCGAATAACCACACGAGAGATCGGTGAGAGATTAAATTTGTCGAATTCGACTGTTTATAGCCATTTGTCCCATGTCCGTACGGAGCGAAATTTGTGTCGTCGCGTTGACGTGTGTGATTCGCTCCTCAAACGTCAAGAAAATGATCCATTTTTGAAGCGGATTATTACTGGGGACGAAAAATGGGTTGTATACAACAATGTTAAACGCAAGAGGTCATGAAGCAGAAAAGATGAACCGGCTCAAAGCGTGTCAAAAGCCAACATTCACCAAAAAAAGGTGGTGCTCTCCGTTTGGTGGCATGTCAAAGGAATCGTTTTTTTTGAGCTTTTGCCGGACAATACAACGATTAATTCAGAAGTTTATTGTCATCAACTGGACAAATTGAATGATTCACTTAAAGAGAAGAGGCCCGAATTAATCAACAGGAAGGGTGTAGTGTTCCACCAGGATAATGCGAGACCTCACGCAAGTTTGGTCACTCGCCAAAAACTTTTACAGCTTGAATGGGACGTACTGCAACATCCACCATATTCTCCAGATCTGGCGCCTTCCGACTACTATTTGTTCCGGTCCCTGCAAAATTTTTTGGATGGCAAAACCTTTACCTCAAATGAAGATGTCAAAAACCACCTGAACCAGTTTTTTGCCAGCAAGGACCAAAACTTTTATGAGAGGGGAATTATGTTACTGCCAGAAAGATGGCAAAAGGTGTTGGACCAGAATGGCCAATAAATAATTTAATAAAATATTTATTCATTATACGAAAACTGTCTTTCATGTTCCCCAAAAAAAACGAAATGACTTTCCGAACAACCCAATATAAATGGTCTAAAAAAGTCCTCCTTTTCTGCAAATGCATTTAACGCCCACGCGAAAAATTGAATTAGATTGTGAAAATCATTTGAATCAATTTAATAGCCAAAAGCAGAGGTTTTATGATATCTAATTTCGTAAAAATATTTTATTCATCTTATATCAATATTATATTTATTTTTATTATATTATCAATATACATAATTTTAATAACTGAGATTTGGAACAGAGTCTACTGTCACAATCTGCTGTAATCATTTAAATGCTTCTTATGTATTTGAGAAATTAAAATAAGATTACACATTCACAAAATTCAAATTATTTAGGAAACATTGAGGATTAGATAATGAAAACCACATTGAAACACATTTATTTTGATCGTTTTAGCCAAAAATATTATAATATGCAGCAAGATCTGTTTTTAAAAAGTAAAACTGTAATGCTGTTAGCACTTTTGGGGCAACCCGTATAGTATTGACATATCCCAAAAGTACAACCTGTTGAATTTAGAATTCTACGGAAAAAATCTTGCTACGTTAGACATTTTGTTATACAGGGTGAGTTAGAGTAAAGTTCATTTTCTCATTGGTTTGAAAAGTAATGGTAAATGCAGTAGTTGTAATGATTGTTAGGATACACACGTAAAAATTATTAGTATACAGGGTAGCTCGAATTAAACAACATATTTTTAAATTTTCTTTTGAATTCGCTTTGAAATTCCTCCACTTTTTTATTAATAAAAATACGTACATAAACCTAATGGCTTTTCTAATTTTTTACACTTGCAAAAAATTTCGATTGCGCAATTAATTTTTAAGGTAGATCACTCATTTTTGATATTAGCGTTTTTCGAAGATGACGTAAAAAATATATGTATATTCCGATGATTTCACCATACCATACATATCTTTTTTCTTGGGGATTTTACAAAAACCTACAACTTTTATTAATTAATTTATTATAATTGTTTTTCATAATTAATGTTTTAGCAATAGTCTTAGACAAAGACAGGGTGTTGAAAAAATTAAAATAAATATTAAAGTATAAAAATAGGTATAAGACGTACTTAAAAAAAGTTGTAGGGCTTACGCGAGATTTTTAAGAAAAAAAAAATGGTGCGCAAAAATATTCGTATGGGCATGTATTATTATTAATAAAAAAGTTGAAGAATCGAAAACAAAATGTGAAATATTAAAAAAAAAAGTTTTATTCGTAGCGCATTCTTGAGCCACCCTGTATACTTTCAATTATTTTTAATTAATTAATAAACTTTTGTGTTTGCCATTTTCTCATAACTTTTGAAACCAATGAGACAATAAACATTACGACGCACCTTGTATATATGAAAGTGTTTGGCCGCTCTGAGATTTTAAAGTAATTTTGACTAAATTTCAACCGGACTACGACTCATACGATCATTTTTAAACCTACTGTTATTATTCTCGTCATAAGTAGTATGTCTAGAGGGGTTCTGAGACCGCGGCCGCGGCCGCCGGTATATCCGCCAGCGGTCGCCCGAACTTCGATCAATGGCGCGCGGTACAAACGCACAACGGTGCATAAAATCGAGCGCGTTCCTCTTCGAACTTTGGTTATCTCGCGGCACGTTAATAATAAAGAGACAATAGCTCTCGTGGGACCGTAATAGATCAAGCGGCTCAGCGATACGGCACGAACCGCCTCCTCTTAATTTGTTTTTCTAGCCCCCGCCTAGCGGGAGTAAATTCCAAGTTTGTTTGCTTGTTTGACTTGCAACGTCGCTCGGTTAATATCAGCAGCCAGCAAATTTCGCTAGTGTGTGCGTCCTCGAGATAAATTAATTTCATTGTTTGAAGATGCGCGCTTTATTAGCGAAAGATTCCGTGCTTCGGGACACTGATGGATGTTTTCTGGTCGTTTCGGAGACCGTCTAAGCGAATCCTTTATCGCTGCGGTAAAAAATTTCACTAGGAAACACTCTACTACGTCGGCCGCGAGATTTATCGTCGGGCGAGGAAATGAAAGTGGGAAACAAAGGGTCTATTGTCTTGGCAGGGAGGATTATAAGAATTTCGCTGGCCGGTGGTTAACTGGACACGTAGCGTCGTGAATTTCGACCTGTACGCTTTTAATTGTTTAAAAAGGAAACGTTTTCTGTTGAATAATTTTTAGTAATGACAAACGAGCACCGAAAATTTTGCCACAAAAACGATATATAAAATGTACCAAAACCAAGATTTCCGGAGAATTTTTAGGATTTCTAGAGGTGTGGAAGGCATAAATCTTACTGACTGAGGCAAAGTGTATAAGATATTCTTAGTAGCTGATACACAAGCGGACTTGTTGACCATTAATCCCCATGGATTATGGAAAAGCAGAAGAAATGAAGGAAAATGCAACAACGTTAACCCTCGTGGAAGAAAATTTTCCAAGCAAATCAGAAATGAATGCTCGAAGCAGCGGTTTCCTTTCATTTTGCATCTGAAATAGAGGGAAAATTTGCACATAAGTACGTTCCATCTTTATTTAAAGCTTTAACGTACTGTTTGATTAGTAACAATTTAATATGCAACAGTGGTTAGGAAAGAGATTCTTTCATGGATCAATTAGGCTATCATGAAAAATATTTTGATCCGGGAATTAAATTGGCCCTTTTTGGTCAGTTCTTTTTTGTACCCCATGTTGCTCACACAAAAAACAGGGGTACTTCCTATGTCCTGACTGCTGATCTAATAGATGTCCCACAATTTTGAAGTTACCTCCAATCACCGAACTTTCAATTTGATTTTCTCAAGTAGTCGTAGCATGTTTTCATTTGCGTTCCGTAAAAAAACAGTATTTAAACTTTTCTTGGATGAGTCAATAAAAAGCCCCTAGTTTTCATAATTGTAGTCTGGCGATGCAATAAAAAAGTAAACCGCTATATATCACCATCATAACTAAGGGTATCTTCATCTGTTTTAGGTTCAGAAAAACTGGTGATATCTTCTTCCAAACTGGCTGGATTCTCAGGAATTGGGACATCTGGGCCATGGACTATGGACCAAATTTCTTTACTAGATTAGGAATATCGATGCAATAAACAAGTGGACCACTTTGTTTAAAATAGTATATATATTCTGCTCTTCCTGGAATATAGGATTATAACGTCATGTACTAGCAAATTTTTCATTGGTAATCTAGATGCTAAAAAATCGAAAATATCCTGAAAATAACTGTGGTCAGTAAACTAAGCAATATCATTTTTACCACTATTTTTGTCGAAAAATTCGGTGCTTATTTATTAATCTTCTTTTTCAACTTAATATCTCATCTGGATGAAGATAAGAAGAAATTCAAGGATTCCTCAAAATCCCTTGGTTCAGATTGCATGAGTCTTTTTCAGAGGTCGTTGATCTGTCAACCTCATAAGATCATATTGCTATGTTCGGCGTAGGGCACAAGTGCCAGTCAAGAGTTTAAATCAAAATAACCCTCTGTGGGACCCATTGAGATACCTGGCAGTTTATGAATATTTCAACGGCGTAAAAAACAATTTAAACGTGAGGGGGTGTGTTAATTACAGAGCGCGGCATGTGTGTATTATCTGCCCTATAATAACGTCGAAACAATTCGATATTTGCGGTATAGGACTTTTTAAAGCTGCTGAATTGGTAAAGGCGATATCAATGACCGCGGGTGGGGAGTGGGAGGTCGTCTCACGTTTTAAAGCCTCTACTTATCCCGAACGAAACCAGTAAAGGGTACACCGCCTTGGGTGTTGATGGGGTAGATGTCCTCCAAGAAGGGCTACTTTGCTTATATCAGATTCCTGATGATGGTTGTCGGAATTTGGCGGATAGAACATTGGGGCAGCCGGTCCAACACTGGGAAAGTGGTCTACAAGGCATATTCCGTAACCTTTCAGTTGATTTGTTGGTCGGCGATGGTTTCATTGGCGGTTGAGCTGCCCGAGCTGATCCGCACGGATACGGTCGCTGGTGAGGTGATTTTTTATAATGTTTACACTCTGTGTTCTTTAGAGTTTGAATTTTAAAATTTGCAAAGTCCACGTCTAATACGTTTGGAGTTGAAGAAAAATCTTCTCTTGGTCTCAATAAACTAAGTCTAATCATAATCCGATGTAATTTTTATCGGAAAATTCAATTGATTTATAAATTAATGTTGCTTAACGTAATATATTTGTGTTTTTTTATACTTGGTATATTTAGAATAATGGAAAGTGGCTACCATCTTTATTTATTTATCTTCTCTTTCAACTTAATTTCTCGGAAAGATTAGTTTTGAGCTGTTATTAGAGAAAATCAAATTCATATTTTTCAGTTCTTCTTCAGTACTCTAAAATATACTATACTAAATATACTATACTTAAAACAGAGTTAGTAACAAAGAAAACTAACTAAGACTATCCTATGTAGATCAACGTACTTATATAAAACAAAAATGTTAAAAACAAAACCAAAAAAAAAACAATACACAACAGGAAAGAATGAATGCATACATACATAAAGCAATGGAAACCATATACTGATATTCTTTTTTCATATTGGTTAATTATACATGTAAAGAAATGAAAAACAAGTAACAAATAACAACTAAAGTCAAATTCATAAACAAATTAACAAAAAGGGGGACTGTTAGATCCTCCCCCGTCTTTTTTAAAAATTATCTTCCTGTGTGTCCAATATAAATTTTCTCGCATTGCTTACACGATATTTCAATCATTGCAGCTTTTTATGAAGACACATTCGACATTAACATCTTTTAGAGATAAAGGAAGTCCCTAGGTGCTTATTTAGGTCTCCTTTCTATGAACTATAACATAAAGTCGCTTGTTTTTTTTTTTGGTCCCCCTTTAGAATGAATACCCAAAAAATATCTGGGATCTCTCGAGTTGGCGGCCTTTAGGTTATTGAAAAGATACCCAAAGAACACCTGAGGTCTCTTAAAAAGTTAAAGAAAGCGGAACCAAAAATATCCGGGGCCTCTTGAATCAGTCGATTTTAGGTTATAGAAAGAATACCCAAAGAACACCTAATGACTCTTGAGTCAGTACAATTTAGTCTATGGAAGGAGGACCCAAATTTCAGTTCATTTTTCGTACGCAGCGATGGACAACGTCGGCAGGTTCATAATCCTGGGCGTCATAATTTTCAAAATGGTCATGTGCCAGTCGGAACGGGTGTTGAAGCTGCTGAGGCTGGCGTTGGCCCAAGACGCTCAAATTTTGACCGAGACTAACGCTGCAGTCAAGATGATCTACGAACGGCACGTCAGTTACGACAACAAATTCGTATCGCTGCTTGTGACATCGGCAACTTGCATGGGTGTGTGCGTTTCGATTCTGGGTACCTACCCCGATGCCCTTCGAAATTCCGCCATTCCGTTAGTCTGTTTTTTAGGTGACGTCAAATGCTACGAGTTTTTAAAGCGCGCAGAGAATCGCAACGTTTCGGACAAGCCTGTGAGTTCACGTTACTGGTACCCGTTCGACAGGGACGACCACTACGCGTTGGTAATGGTGGACCAGAACCTGCGACCCACCCTGGCGTGTCTGTGCATGGGTGTGGTGAGTGCGTTTGTAAACTGCGTCGTCGTTTTCCTGAGGTTGCAGCTGAAACTGCTGCAGTACGACTTCAGACACGTCGGGAAATTTGACGAAAAGTTGAAGACGGCGTCGGCAGAACGTACGGTGAAAATGCTCTGCCTGAAGCATCAACGTCTCATAGAGTAAGGAACCCTTGCCAAATAGTACCCTTTACAATTCGCATCAAGTTCGATAATTCACCTTCAAAAACATTGAACCGTGCGGACCTGGACGACATGTGATGCTTCCAGCTTCCAATTGGCCTGTCACAACTTTGAAACAATTTTTGAAACTTCGTAGAAGACTTCTTATAGGTTTTTAGGTCACAACCGGGCGGGATTTTTGCAACGTCTCGGATAACTTTTGATGTCTATGGTGTTCTCTATTCTTCTCTTCTGTACTGTTTTCAATTTCACTTGTTTTTTTTGATATGCAATGAAAGCAAACACTCGTTGTGAAACCAATTTTGGAATTTTAGATACGTGGGAGAGTTCAACTACTCCTTAAAAGACATCATCTTTCTGGAATACATGGTAACGTCCGTTTCATTCGCAACTCTCACCGTTCAAATCATCGCGGTAAGTGTTGTTATACCGTAATTGAACTGAGGTGGCTTTTACCTGATGAAAATATATTTATTAAAATAAATAAGAACTAAAAGTTCAGATTTTCACGAAATTATATATTTTCACATGACATTTGTTTCGACAGCACTGTGTCTTCATAAAATGTAATATTTACAAACTACCTGCTACTATAAATACCGAAAAATGACCATAAAACCTTAATTAATGTTATTGTGAGAATTTAAGTTCAATAAAGGAGAGGTATTTAATTCTAATTGTTTTTATTTTTATTAATCTCCATTGCTTCCAATAAATTTAAGTTTCTACTTTTGGTATGTGAAATATCAAAATTGTCGTAAAAAACGTGTTTTTCTGTGTTTAAATGTGTAACATAATTAGAATCTAGGCTATTGTTTTTAAACGCTCTTGTATGTTCGTTAATGCGTTGATTTAATTAATTTAATGCGTTAATGCGTTCAATCCCGATACTGAATTTTATACAATTATGTAATGAATTAAAGAAATTTAAAAAAGAATTCAATTGTCTGTCCGTTCCAACAAAGCAAGCAAAGACATCATCCACGTATCTATAAACATTTAGTTATTATTTGTTATACCGTGCCGGTAATTCTGTGGAATGAAATGCTATCGCAGGGACAGCAAGTAATCTTCAACCTCACAGTTTTAATGTTCACTATCGTGCAGCTGCTCACGTTCGCTTGGAATTCGAACGAGATCATCGCCCAGGTAAACGATGTGTGATTTTGACGGAGAAGTGGAATGTACGCAAAATGTTTTCTAGAGCTTGGAACTCTCTTTCGCGCTGTATGAGAGTCGCTGGTACGAACAAACGTCGGCTACCAAGACCCTTATCCACATCATGATGATGCGGTGTCAGAAATGCCTGTGCCTGAAAATTGGTGTGCTCGGAGCTATGGATTTGAGCGCCGGTATTTCGGTAGGTCTGATAAAAGTTGATTGCAAATATAGCTCTGTATTATGTATACCCAGTAATAGGGTATTAGGAAAAAGAATTTTGAAAAAAAAATGATTTAGTTTTGGTTAATTGGTTAATGGTTTTTAACTATTTAACAAATACCAACAACAACCTGTAAAGTGGACTTTTTTTTTAGTATTAAGTTCTTTTATTCATATTTTAGGTTGATATTATTAGCAATACATCATAGAAGTCTACACAAAAGAGGCACTAATTAACACAACTATAGGCACTACGCTTCTAACAATTTAATCAAAGGATGTACTGAACAAACAACGCAATTTTTCAATTGATTTCTAAGTTTCTTGGAATCGGGCTACTTCAATCAGTATTTTAGGTTAGAGTGAACACATCGAAGTGCGCTGTTTCTGAGTTGTCGGGTACTCATTTGACTATATAACTTTTAGTTTTTGAGAACTTACTGATTATTGACATCGTTATATTACAGTTGCTCCTGTCGCAACTATCAACCATACATACACTGGATTACAGATTTTTTACATTCATGGAGGGGAGAGAAAAAAATACTGCTGAACAGAAACCCCATGAAGTCGTTCTAATCGTAGATTCAAAAATTTCCCGTGCCAACCCAGGCCTAACTAATAATATGCTCCGCCACGGGAATTATAAAACTTTCTGCAATCTAATCTAATACGAACAATTTAGCATTTTACTCGTACTTTATCTTATGGTAAAGGTGCACCACTGCATTTTTCCATGTTTTATCGGTATATGTCGATGAGTCTGTAATATTACTAACTAATGCAGCGTAATAACTTAGGTGTTCCCTATGCAGGGTTGAAATCATTTTATTACAGGTAGAATATAATTCTCAGTCTTGTTGTTTGTATTGCCAGCTTTCGTAATTGAATAAATTGCGCTTTGATCACTGTTTTTGATCATTCAAGACAATTCAAAATTTTCCGCCAAAAGTGGCTTAGAACCGGCACCGCTACACAGCACGTATTTATCTGAAAAACGAACTACATATCTTTGTGAAATTTGGTAACTTACATTTTCTCAGATGAATAATTTGTATGGATGACGTAATTAGTGAATTCTACATATCAGGTTTTCGTAAAATGATGTAGTTGCTAGGGCGAGTATTTTTTTAGAGACTAAAACTGGGGTACTCGTATACGTCGCTGATGAAAACCGGGGAGTAGAATCGTGGAAACTTACAACGCCGCTGAAGGAATTTTTTTATTGTATATAATATATATCATAATATATAATAAACAGTGTCCCCATTATTAATTGTTTATTTACGTTTATAGTTTAAAAAATTGCTACCTAAGGCGAACAACTTACAGACTCTTTCGGAATTTCTGAAATTAATAATGGCTATGGGCGTTTTATTGATAATTTATTAAATTGTATAAAAAAATGCCACTAATTTGAAGAAATTTAGTTGTTTTGTGATAATCCCTATTGTCAAACTTCTTTAACCGCAGTGCCCTCACGCGCACTACCGTCCAGTCGCTGTTTCTCGATTCCCTCGGGAACTAGCCACATTTCGCGATATCCTGAACGTCTATAATCAATAATTGCAGTCCCTATGATTACGGGCCCCTTTGTGCATATATTAAAGTCAAATGTGAGGTTTTCCCATAAACGTATTATTAGGGATACCGTTCTTTAAATCTGCAGCACGGCAGGCACAAGCGTTGCAAAATTTTTTGCCCGTTTCATCAAAAGAACGGTGCTAAAAGCACCTGCGCATCACCGATCGTTCTTGTACAGGGTGTTTGGTTATACTTTGCGCTATACCTACAGCTGAATCGATGAAAATAACCATATTAGGTAACTAATTGAAATCACATCCGGGACACCACCAATTTCTAAACAAATGAATATTATGGAATTTATTTAAGTTTCAGTAATTTCACTTTAAATTTACACCTGAATATAATAATTTAAAATAATTTAATATGTACTAGATGTTATATTGAGAACAATGCAAGTTATGTTGTTTTTTGTGATCTATAATTATCATAAGAAACTAGATGAAAAATCCAACATTTTCTCTGCTTTTGTACGATATAAACAAACACCCTGTACAATTATCGTTGTTTCGCCTTCCCGAACACGGAACGGAACAAACGGATTCACCCTGTACATCGTCATCATCATTAAAATGATAGCGTGGCAGTCGAGACGGATGGTAGACCTGCTCGGAGTACTCTTACAGCAAAATCAGCAGATACAGGAAGTCTCACGTACCGAACTCCACATACGCCGGTTATACAAAAAATACGCGAGGTACAACCACACGCTCATGTTCCTCCTCGTCACCTCTGGGATGGTCATAGCGATCAGCATCGCTGCAGTAGGTAAGTTTCTCGTGTGGAAGATGGAAGACACCACAAGTCTCTAGGAATTAATTTGAAAAGAAGGAAAATAGAGGATTGGTTTGACTGCGAAAAAAGTGAAATTTCACTGGCAGCGCATGGTAATATATCGGTTGAAAACCTGATAAGAAAATTCCAGATAGACCTGCAACATCTTCGATCAAGACGCCAAAAGTGTAATTGGAAGAAAAATACCCAACTATCATCTATTTTTGCTTGTTGGTTCATATTTTCATCACTATCTTCGGCCATGTTTCGGGGTATTTCTACTGCATCTGCCATAGTATACCCTTCCTGTTTATCTTCTCATTTCCTCCTTATGTATATGTTCTATTTTTAATGTTCTATGCAATAAATCCAATTCGACTATTTCTATTTTTACATTCTTTCTGAAGTTGCCGATAAATCCAGATTGCAAAACATCCAGAACAGATGTGGCCGATTCGTTAATGCTTTGAGAAAGTTTGACCGTATATCAGAAAAAATATTTGCCATGCAATGGCTTAAAATGAAAAGATTGTCTAGTGTTCTCAGCTCAGTTCTAGTATTTAGGAAAAAATTTAAGGTCCACTTATTGGAATTGCAAAAGTATAAACAAATTATGTTTGCCATTTTCAGAGAATAGTCCCTTTGTACAAGGTTTCCTGTTTCAATAAATCTTATAAAAACGTTATCAACATAAAGGTTTTTAAATTTGTTTAATGTCTAAAAATGGAACGAATTACAAATCCAGATGGACAAAAATCCACAAAAAACACTATTTCAAAGATTAGAAACATATAAAAATATACACATGTTACAAATAATAGATAATTTTATGAAAAATTTTATTTTTATATATTTTTGTGAATGCTGTAATAGTTTTGTTGCTAATATATTGTAACTTTCGAAATAAATAAATAAATGAAGTTGTTATTGGTCCACCAAAATACAAACCCATTTTTTTACTGGTTCTTTTAACTATTCTTTACAGATTCTCAGATATACTGCCCCATAATAAACGGACCACCCTATATATCGGGCCCAATTTGTATTTTGTAAAAATTAAAATTCTTTTTTTTTTTGTTATTTTCCAGTTCTTCTCTTTCTGCATCCATTGTCTGATGTTTCTTGCTAGTGATAGCTCTTTTCTACACATTCCCTTCCTTATATTTTCAATTGGAGTATGAGTATAGCACGCTCTCCTTCTGCATCATGCTGAGTACTTTATGTTTATCTTTTCCATGGACACATAGACCATATTTCAGGTGGGGTGAACATTTATCATTTCCTAAAATCGCCTGAAAACATCAACGCCACCGAAAAGCCACTGCCCTACAGGTACTGGTACCCCTTCGACCGCAACAAGTACTACTTGGTCGCCTTGGTGGACCAAAATATCAGGCCGACGCTGAGTTTGTTTTGCATTGGAGTCACTAGCGCGTCGCTGAACTCATTAGCGATATTCGTCAGCGTCCAGTTAAAAGTGCTGCAGCACCAATTCGAGCACTTTCACCGGCAGGGGCAGGAAGCCCTGGATAGCCTGAAGCTGCTGTGCGAGAAGCATCAACGTTTGATCGGGTAAGTGATCACTGCCATTTGTTTCTTGGTGATTTCTTTGCAGGTTATATTTCAGATATACCACCGAGTTCAGCGAATCGTTCAAGTACATTGTGATGCTGGATTATACGGTCTGCTCGCTTACGTTCGCGCTGCTGATCCTCCAGATTATAGCCGTGAGTGATGGACTTTCGATTCGAAGAGTGATTAAGTAGTTTTTTTTTATCAGGGTGAGGAATTGTTGATCAAGTTCACCATACTGACGTTCACCACGCTGCAGCTGATGACATTTTCGTGGAACTGCAACGAGATAATACTGCAGGTGATTGCGGTCTATCATTGTAGCATTTTGTGAACGGAGGGGTATTTTCAGAGTATGGAGCTAGCGAAAGCTCTCTTTAACAGGGACTGGTATAACCAGAATCGACACGCGAAAATTTTGATCCACGTGATGATGATGAGGTGCCAGAAACCGCTGAGTCTGCGTATCGGTTGGTTGGGAGTGATGGATTTGGATGCCGGGATATCTGTGAGTGTCTACGGAGTGCCTACGAACATGAGATCAAAATCTTCAAAATTTCAGAGGCTGAAATTGGGTTATTCGTACACCTCCATCATGAAAAATTAATGGCTCCCAACGAAGTGGATATAGGATGTAGGCTTTAGAAATCGAAATAAAATGTGCGTTTAAAACATTATATTTGAAAACTTTAAGATTTAGAATTGGGAAATTAGGATAAGAATAATCCGGGATGATTTGCAACTTTAGTGCGATTGCCATCTTATATGGTTCAGAGTTATTTCCCAAAATCGATGGTGCAGGTGTGGTTGGTGCAGAAAATATTTTTTGTCTGTCCTTTCTATGTTCTCCAGTTCTTGTTTTTGACTGTTACCGTTATAACTTTTGAGCTGCGCGATTCAGATCTGGCTCCTGGCAGCGATCCGACGACGGCGTGCATCTTTTTTCAGCGATTTTTATGTGTTTTTCAAACAACGCTATGAAACGAAATAAGTGTAGTTCAAGATATTTACTGGAAATTTTATTTATGATTTAAAAATCACATTTGTAGCGCCGAAGAAAGAAATCAGTGGAACATAAAACTCGGTTTTAGTTGTCATATTCGGGACATTCTGTTCTATGAAATGTAATAATTATCTCAGATTAGCAGCGGTTTTAGATTTGCTATGGTGTTTTTTGGTTATTTCCGGAAAAAAATCCACTTCTGGTGGGAAAAATTTAATTGTCATGAATGTTCCGGTGTCTTCGGATTATGTGCACCATTGATTTTATTTAGGTTTTCACCAAGCTCCTGTTTTTGACAACTTCCAAACCCTTGAAGAAACAAGTTGCCATTAATCCCCCTTGGAGAAGAAGACATCGCTATATTCAAGTTGCTTCTGTAGTAACTACTCACTAATAAATCCACATACCTACAGATTTTTACCATTCATGGAGGGGACAGAAAAAATTCGAACAGAATCCAATGAAGTCACACAGTTTTGAAAAATTTCCGTGCTAATTCGCTCACACCCGACAGTTCACGACAATTAAAATTTTCCCGCGAAAAGTGATTCAGAACCCACACTACTATACTACTTGTATGTTATCTGATAAACAAATAAAATTTCTTTCTTCTGGTTAGTTTTCATCGGGAAACATGTCCATGGGTACAAGGTTTTTTGTTCTACTCTTGCTAGTGGCGTCCGTGTCCGATTTGCATCACATTTTTATGAAGCAATAGACGGGACGCTACTGGCATTTTCTCAGATGGATAATTTTTAGAGACTGAAACTGGGGTACTGGTATACGTCGCTGATGAAAACCAGAGAGTAGCCCGTAGTAATGCGCCGCTAAAGGAAACTTTTTTTTTATTGTATATAATGTGTTAATAATTGAGTGTCCCGATCGTTCATTGTCCAATTACTTTTTTAGTTTATTGTATAGTACTTTCGCAGATAAATGAAAACTGGTCAACAACTTTTTCGGAATTTCTCAAATGAATAATAGCCATAGGTGTTTCACTGCTGGTTTTTTGCTCAATTAATATTGTAGAAAAAAAATTTTTAAGAAATTTAGTTGTTTTGTGAGAATCCCTACTGTCAAAAATCTTTAACCACACCGCACCAACACGCACTACCGTCCAGACGCTGTTTCTCGATTCCCTCGGGAACTATCCACATTTCGCGATATCCTGAACGTCTATAATCAATAATAACAGTCCCTATGATTACAGACCTCTGTGTGCATATATTAAAGTCAAATGTGAGGTTTTACCTTAAACGTATTATTAGGGATACCGTTCTTTAAATCTGCAGCACGGCGGGCACAAGCGTTGCAGTTTTTTTTTTTACCGTTTCACCAAAAAAATGGTGCTAAAAGCACCTGCGCATCACCGATCATTCTTGTACTGGATGTTTGGTTATACTTTGCGCTATACCTACAGCTGAATCGATGAAAATAACCATATTAGGTAACTAATTGAAATCACATCCAGGACACCACCAATTTCTAAACAAATGAATATTACGGAATTTATTTAAGCTTCAGTAATTTAAAACAAAATTGGAACCCGAATATAGAAAAATCAGGAGAAATGATATTTCCAAATAATTTAAAATATACTAGGTGTTATGTTTAAAACAATGCAAGTTATGTTACATACATGAAAAGTCTTAAATTTTTTCTGTTTTTTGCAAAATATAAACAAACACCCTGTACAATTATTGTTGTTTCGCCTTTTCGAACACCCTCTTGAAAAAAAATAACGAGACGCCGCTGAACAAGCCCCCCATCGCCGCTACATAAAGGCGGTCGCTTTCGCACTTCTCAGACATGAACGTAGACAACTATTTTACGCACGTTAGAAGACTGCTGATGGTGATCGGGATCTGGAAAGTGGAAAGTCCAGACGCCTCCGTTTTCGGGAAACGAATCTACCAGGTCTACTCGCTGTCCTTTCAATTATTTTGCTACTCGGCGGCTCTCTCGTTGCTCGTCGAAATACCTTCGTTGGTGAAGACTGACGTGGCGATAGGTGGGGAAGTCACCCTTTAAAAAATAAGCTCTTCGGAAAGGTTTTAAGTTGCAGCGATGGACAACGCAAACAAATTCCTCGTGTACATCGTCATCATTATCAAAATGATAGCGTGGCAGTCGAGACGCATGGTAAACCTGCTGCGAGTGCTCTTGGAGCAAAACCGGCAGCTGCAGAAAGCTTCCCGTACCGAACTCCACATACGTCGGCTATACAGAAAACACGCGAGGTATAACCACAACCTCATGTTAGTCCTGGTCACCTCTGGAACGGTGATAGCAATCAGCATAGCTACAGTAGGTAAGTTTCTCGTGTGGAAGATAGAAGACATCATAAGAACCTATTAATTATTTTGCAAAACTATGTTAAGTCACTAAAGTAGGGAATTAGGAGATTATTATGAAGTGGACTCCAGGTTGACCGGGGAAATGGAGTTCCCAAAGCATAATACCAAAAAAAGTATTAAAAAAAGATACACTCATTCGAAGATAAGGTTTCCATAGAGCTCAGAGAGGCTGACCGTGTTGTGTTGTCTAGAAAAACCTTTGCGGCCACTTAGAAAAATATGAATTTTGCTTGAGAACTATAAAACTATACTGGAAACAAAAATGTGGGTTTTATATAGTTTCCAAAGTTAGGCAAGACTCAAATATAACCAGTGTTCAGCATGCTTTGGAAAGCCTGTCAACGGGAAATATGGTTTCATCAGGAAGTGTCATTTTTTAAAAAAGGTTAAAGGAATTCGGATGTTTTGCAAGGTATTTCGGTAAAATCGTAATGAAAATGGCTAGAGGAAACTCTAACTCCATCTTGAAGAAAACAAGATATTATTGCATTCTTCTTCTGCTTGTTGACTTCCATCACTATTTTTAGCCGTTATCCAAGGTTAATCCTTCCTAAGAGGCAAAACCACTTTTTTCTTTCATAAATTTGTTCTCTTCTGGAGTTCTTTGATGTTTTCTCATAGACACAGAAAAAAAATTTTAGGCGGCGTGAACTTGTATCATTTCGTAAACTCGCCGGACAACATCAACGCCACGGAGAAGCCGCTGCCCTACAGGTACTGGTACCCTTTCGACCCCAGCAAATACTACTTGGTGGCCTTGGTGGACCAGAATATCAGACCGACTTTCAGTTGCTTCTGCATTGGTGTCACTAGCGCGTCGCTCAACTCGTTGGCTATATTCGTCAGCGTTCAGTTAAAGGTGCTGCAGCACCAATTCGAGCACTTTAACCGGCAGGAGCAGGAAGCCCTGGATTGCCTGAAGCTGCTGTGCGAGAAGCACCAACGCTTGATCGTGTAAGTGATGTCTGCAATTTCTTTCTTGGTGATTTCTTTGCAGGTTATATTTCAGATACACCACCGAGTTCAGCGAATCGTTCAAGTATATTGTGATGCTGGACTATACGGTCTGCTCGCTTACGTTCGCCCTGCTGATCCTCCAGATTATAGCCGTGAGTGATGGTCTTTCGATTCGATGCGTGATTAAGCCGTTTTTTATCAGGGCGAGGAATTGGTGATCACCTTTACCGTACTGACGTTCACCACGCTTCAGCTGATGACGTTTTCGTGGAACTGCAACGAGATAATACTGCAGGTGATTGCGGTCTATCATTGTAGCATTTTGTGAATGGAGGGGTATTTTCAGAGTATGGAGCTAGCGAAAGCTCTCTTTAACAGCGACTGGTATAACCAGAATCGACACGCGAAAATTTTGATCCACGTGATGATGATGAGGTGCCAGAAACCGCTGAGTCTGCGTATCGGTTGGTTGGGAGTGATGGATTTGGATGCCGGCATATCTGTGAGTGTCTACGAAGTGCCTACGAATATGAGATCCAAATCTTCAAAATTTCAGAGGCTGAAACTGGGTTATTCGTACACCTCCATTATGAAAAATTGATGGCCCCCAATGAAGTATACGATATACGTTTAAGAAATCTACATAAAATGTGTGTTCGTTCAAAATACTATCTTTTAATAATTTAAAATTTGGAATTGGGAAAACCTTATCGAATAATCAAAAAATTGGGATAAGAATTGCTCTCTTATATGGAGCAGAGTTACTTTTCCAAAATCGACGAAGCAGGCGGATTCGGTTATTGTCAAAAATCTGAAGTACCTAAAAAATTGTTCTGTTCTTGAGTAAATTATTGGAAATCGAAATTCGTGAAAAATCAGACAATTTTATTTGGTTATGTACAGGGTGGATCAACAATAGAGAAAAGTTACTGGAATATGGGAAAATGGTAAATACAATTTTTTTTAAATTGTTAGGATGCGCATTTTAAAATATACAAGGTGGCTCAAAAAAGTGTAACGAACAAAACGGTTTTTTTTTAACTTAATTTTTAATTTAATAATAATTCATATCCCAACCCAATACTTTTCCAATATTTTAATTTGCTCGCTTATATTTGATATTAGCGTTATTCGAAGATTACGTGAAACGAAAAAATTTCTACTTTATTAAACACCGTGTATATATATATTTTTCCAAAAGATCTTAGAAAAACCTACAACTACCTTTTTTTATTCATTAATTTTTTATGCTTTGCGATTTATTTATTATTATTTTTTGCGTCTATTGCTATAATATTAGTTAAAAAATGACATTATCTAATTTTTACCTGAGAAATGAGCAAATAAACTCATAAAATTTAATTTTAAAAATTTAAAATTTAAGTAATTAATGCAAACAAAAAAATCAATTTGCAAATAAACGAATATTAACGGATCTTATTTAAGTTTTAGTAATTTGACCTAAAACTGGGTGTAACACTTCATGTGCCCTTCGGGGTTGACAATGTGTGACCTTAGCAAGGTCTTCCACTGTAGCTCGCACGATCTTGTTGAACAGAAGCTGTTTAGGTATGGGCGGGGTCCCCCAAGGGTCCGTGCTCGGCCCTGTGTTTCTTATAGTGTATGTCGCTGATCTATGCCGTTTGATGGGGCATGTCAAATGTGCTTTATTTGCGGACGATGCCAGTTTTACACAATATTATTGGAGAATTGGTTTCAAAATGATTATTTGAAATTGAATACGGACAAAACTCAAAACATATTCTTATCGCTAGTAGTCGGCTAAATTACTTGGCATTACACTTGATAGTAGACTTGACTGGAAAGTTCATATTTTATCTCTTAAGCGAAAACTATCTTCCAGCTTATTCGTCCTTAGAAAAATTAAGGAGAGTCTGGAAGAAAATGCCACAACGACAGTGTATTATGCTTTATTTCATTCCCACATATTATATGGCACAATATTATGGGGAAACCCTGTCAATGCTGTTCAAATATTCGGGATAGAGAAAAGGGCTATAAGAATTCTTGCAATTGTTGAAACACTGCCCTGGATCTATATTCTCTATAATATTTTACAAATTCACAAGCATACTAATATATTTGAAGGTGTCTCCTAGTTATCCAGCACGTGTAAAAATTCTTATAAGAGTTCTTTAAGAATTCTTTAAACATTAAATTGTAGAATATGCTGCCAGTAGGTACAGACATATGGCTTTTGAGGTGTTCAAAACAATTATTAAAGTATTTCTTATTGAAAATTGTTTCTATATTGTGGACGAATATTCCATCAAAATAAAAAATCTAAATTAAAATCGCTGGCTTACTGAAATGTGTGAAGATCATAGCAAAATAAATAAGAACTAAAAGTTCAGATTTTCACGAAATTATATATTATGACATGACAATTGTTTCGACAACACCGTGTCTTTATTAAATGTAATATTTACAAACTACCTGCTACTATATATACCGAAAAATCACCATAAAACCTTAATTAATGTTGTTGCGAGAATTTAAGTTCAATAAAGGAGAGGTATTTAAATCTAATTGATCGTTAAGCAATACATTTGAATGTCTCATTTTGTTAACCTCCATTGCTTCCAATAAATTTAATTTTCTACTTTTTCTATGTAAAATATCAAAATTGTCGTCAAAAATGTGTTTTTCTGTGTTTAAGTGTGCAGCATAATTAGACAATATATAGACTATATATAGAGAGAGGGATATGTGTCCCTTAAACCAAAATTCTAGTTACTAGTACACAAAAGGAAGCGTAAACGTTTCGGTACCTTGGAAGGTCTAATGAGGAGAGAGTGTTGGCTTCTGACAATAAAACTTTTGCCTACTGTAATTGGATAAAACCACCAACAAAAAATTTATTCCTACTTGAGTGACAAAGCAGGAGTGGGCCCAGGTATATTTCTTTCTTTCTGATATATTTCTCGAGTGTTGACCATTTGTGACAGTGTGGAATTAACGTTTTTACTGTGCGTTTCGAAGAAGTTATTCTACGTATTGTGAGAAACGTGTATGGAAACTTAATCAAACTGATCGCCTAGACAATAGCGATCGGCATCTAATAAAAAGGAGAATATATTGTATTATCCAAGCCAAGTTGTTCCTGAAAAAGAAGCTAGAAGATGAAACAAATATAAATATAGTCCGTGCCACCCTCCACAGAGTTGTTTGGAAAAGGGAATTTAGGTCCTCCTCCATATCAATGCATGCTTGACCTCATAGAGCATCTGTGGAACCAAGTGAAGTCAAAGATCAGATCAAAAAATGATACTCCTACTTTAAGTCCCAGTGTTATAAATTTGATAAAAAATGTATTAATAACATACCTGGGCCTGGAAAAATTCATAATATATAATTTCCTGAAAATCTGAACTTTAAGTTCTTAGTTATTTTGATAAATCGATTTTCATCCATTTCCTGTACGATTTACATTTTATTTTTGTATTTTACCTTTTATTGCAATTGTATTATTATTGTACAATGTGTGGTTAATAAAAAAATCTTCTTCTTCTTCTTAATTCTTCTTCTTTCTTCGGTTGAGATAATATAGTCCCCACATAAATTCGAAATAGAAATAGAAATAAAGTGCAATTTATTTTTTTTCTTATACTGATGTTTCGGTTATTTAGTTGGGGTAGTTTTCTGCATTTACGTTATAAATTGTAACATTTTTTGGAAAAGTCTTTTACATTATTTTATATCAACTTTTCATACAACAATTTAACCTAAATCGGGGTAAATTTTTTTTAATTAAAAAAATGTTAATTTTTTGACTTTAAATGAAATTTCCAATGAATTTCGTCTTTAATTTTTCTATAAAACTGCATGTTTATTAATTAATTAAATTCGTTTTTTGAGTTGTGTCATTTTTTAAGCCACGGTGTTATATACGTGGTGTATTCAAGAAGTAACCTATATTCACAGTTTCAGCAATAAGAAGAAAGCGTCCGGACTTTATGGCCAAAAAAAAAACCACAATCTTGCCTTAGCAACCATATTCACCGGATTTATTTACCTGATGCCTTTTTCCTGTTCCCAAAACTCAGGAAACCCATGAAAGGAGCGTTTGAGGAGATAAAGAAAAAATAGGAAGAAATTAAGGCTATACCTACATTAATTTTGATGAATAAATAAATACTTTGTGGTCAAACTTAGTAGTTACTTTACTTTTTGAACACACCTCGTATTATATTGTTATAAGCATCTTTATCTTATTAAGAGCGTCTGCCGGAAGAGTTACAGAAATAATAACAACAAATTCATTTTGTGTTCGCACTATTCTGCCAACTGAAAATTTAAATTTTCGTAATTAGTAGCATCCCAATTAATTATAGTCTAATCATACTAACGTCCTTTTCGTCGCCCGCATTATCATAACTTCACTACGTAAGGACGTAAGGAAATGTCCACCCATAGACTTCAAAGCGAATAAAAACACAATTCTCTATTGCAAAGCGATATCCGCAACCGCTAATTTTAGACCTTGTGATTACAGGGCCCAAACACGTGTGTGGTTTCCCCTCGCCTTATCATTAAGAAAAAACGTTTTCCGATTCTGACGACAAGATATTCAGTAGCGGAACGATTTTTTTTTTCGCGCACAATGAGCCGTAAAGATAGGTCGACATGGCATATACGAGGGTAGCGCCAAAATTTCCCGGCCTGACATAGATGCAGCTCCAGTATCACGATAAAACTTTGTCTTGTTTTAAATATATCTCTCATTAGGCCGCGAAAAAACATTATTACTTAAATTGCGAAACTGCATACGTGTAAAACGTCGAGGAAAACTGACCAGAGGCGTGCGTCTTTTGCACGATAATGCACCTGTCCATCCTGCCGATGTTGAACAAGCTGCCATTTTAGAGTGTGGGTTCCAACAGATAGATCATCCTCCCTATAGTCCAGATATGGCACCCGGCGACTATTGTTTGTTTGGATATTTGAAAAAGGACGAAATTGAGTTAAAAGAGGCCGTTTAAGATCATTTTGCAGACAAACCAAAAGAATATATTTTTTAAAAGGTTTGAGTTGTTAATAAAGAGATGTAATAAGTGTATTGAAAGTAAGCGGGACTATATTGAAAAATAATAAAAAATTATTACTCTACTTTGTTTCTTTCATATTCAGGCCGCGAAATTTTGGTGCTGCCCTCGTAAAATTGGTTTCGAAAATTAATTTGCGGGTCTTTCTTGTTATCTTATCAATATTAATAGAAAAAAACCAAATTTTATACTTTTGTCATTGGCAGTTTTTAATAAACTTTCAATTTAGTAATTATACAAAACAAGTTTCAACTTCGATTCGATAAAAAAACGATCTGTCTTCATTTGTAGAGAAGCCTGAATCGCTTTTTAGAGAGACGCATGCGACGCCACTGACGATCAGCCCCCATAATTTTGTAATATATAAATGCGGCGAGTTCCGCACCCCGTCAATGATGAGGGCCGACTATTTCACGCGCGTCAGGAGACTGATGATGGTGATCGGCATCTGGAAAGTCGAAAATCCACGCCACTCGGTGTTCTGGAAACGGGTCTACCAAGTCTACTCGGTGTCGTTCCAAATGCTGTGCTATTCGGTGGGGTTTTCGTTACTTGCCGAAATACCCGCGTTGGCTAAGTCTGACGCGATGGCTGGTGAGTGTCTCAAAAGGAAGCACGAGCCCCAGACATGCGTTTCGGTTGCAGCGATGGACAACGCGAACAGACTCACCGTGTACATAGTCATCATCATCAAGATGATCGCGTGGCAATCTAAAAGAATGGTCGATCTGCTTGCAGTCATGTTGGAACAAAACTCCCAGATACGGGCGGCCTCACTCGTCGACCTCGCCATCCGTAGGTTGTATCGACAACACGTGAGGTACAATCACAAGTTTGTGTTCGTCCTTGTCTCTTCAGCGGTAGTCATATCGGTTAACATCTCTGCCGCAGGTAAGTCTGCAATCTTACCCTTGGACTCCATTCACTCTCCACTGTCTAAAATTTATTGCCCGTAGCCTCGCTTTCTTCAAAGTCCTCTAACGTTCGTTTTTACGACATAATTTTATAATGTGCTGTATTGAATTTTTCCAGGTCCAGGTATGTTATTAATTACATTTTTTATCAAATTTATAACACTGGGACTTAAAGTAGGAGTATCATTTTCTGATCTGATCTTTGACTTCACTTGGTTCCACAGATGCTCTATGAGGTCAAGCATGCATTGATATGGAGGAGGACGTAAATGCCCTTTTCCAAACAACTCTGTGGAGGGTGGCACGGACTATATTTATATTTGTTTCATCTTCTAGCTTCTTTTTCAGGAACAACTTGGCTTGGATAATACAATATATTCTCCTTTTTATTAGATGCCGATCGCTATTGTCTAGGCGATCAGTTTGATTTCGAAACGCACAGTAAAAACGTTAATTCCACACTGTCACAAATCGTCAACACTCGAGAAATATATCAGAAAGAAAGAAATATACCTGGGCCCACTCCTGCTTTGTCGCTCAAGTAGGAATAAATTTTTTGTTGATGGTTTTATCCAATTACAGTAGGCAAAAGTTTTATTGTTAGAAGCCAACACGATGAAGACTTAGGCAGTCGTTTATTCTCTGATCTGACATCTAAAATTCTTACATTTCTGTCCTCAAGGTACCGAAACGTTTATGCTTCCTTTTGTGTACTAGTAACTAGAATTTTGGTTTAAGGGACACTTATCCCTCTCTCTATATATAGTCTATATATAGTCTAATTATGCTGCACACTTAAACACAGAAAAACACATTTTTGACGACAATTTTGATATTTTACATAGAAAAAGTATAAAATTAAATTTATTGGAAGCAATGGAGGTCAACAAAATGAGACATTCAAATGTATTGCATAAAGATCAATTAGATTTAAATACCTCTCCTTTATTGAACTTAAATTCTCACAACAACATTAATTAAAGTTTTATGGTCATTTTTGGGTTTATATAGTAACAGGTAGTTTGTAAATATTACATTTGAAAAAGACACGGTGTTGTCGAAACAATTGTGATGTAAATGAAGGGTGTTTTTTTTCGATGTATAGAACTTTAAGTTGGCATTATTGTTCAAGATGGCGGCCGATTCAACAGCTGTGAAGTGACTTATTCTCAGTTTGGTTTGGCAATTCATCATGAATAGACTCACGCCTGAACAACGCTTGCAAATAGTGCAATTTTATTTCGAAAATAATGGTTCTGTGCGGAATACGTATCGCGCACTACGTCCATTTCATCGTCGACAAAATCGTCCATCAGAGCAGTTAATTCGAATAACCATGGAACGTTTTCGCACCACGTTTACTCTTATTGATAACTCGCATCCCCAGAGACGCCGTACGGTGCGTACAGAAGAAGCTATTGCTGCTGTAGAGGAAGACCCCAATGAGTCCATCCGCCATCGAGCACAGGAATTGGATCTGTGTCCATCCAGTTTATGGAAGGATTTACGTGCTTACAAAATCCAAGAATTGAAGCCAAGCGATCACCAATAGTCAATGGTGATCGGTATAGAGCTATGATTACTAACTCTTTGATTCCTGAATTGAATAACTATGATGTCCAGGAGATGTGGTTTCAACAAGACGGCGCAACATGTCAAACAGCTCGTGCCACAATCGTGACAGATACGTTTGGTGACTGCCTAATTTCACGTTTTGAACCTGTGAATTGGCCTCCAAAATCTTGTGATTTAACATCGCAAAACTACTTTCTGTGGAGCTATGTAAAGTCATTGGTCTATGCGGATAAGCCACAAACGCTTGACCATTTGGAAGACCACATTCGCCGTGTTATTGCTGATATACGGCCACAAATGTTGGAAAAAGTCATCGAAAATTGGACGTCCAGATTGGACTACATCTGAGCCAGCCTTGGCGGTCATATCCCAGAAATCATAATTAAAATGTAATGCCACAAGATTATCTTTCGGATAAATAAATTTCATGTCAATCGAATAATCCATCGTTGTTTTATTGCAACTTAACTTAGTTCTATACATCGAAAAAAACTCCCCTTATACATAATTTTGTGAAAAATTGAACTTTTCATTCTTATTTATTTCAATAAAATCGATGCCGAGTATATTTTAGGATTCATAGGCGTATATCGATTCATCCATTCACCGGAAAATCAAAACCATACCGAAAAACCGCTGCCCCTCAGGTTCTGGTACCCATTCGACATACACAAGCACTACGTGCTCGCCTTGGTGGATCAAAATCTCAGACCGACGCTCGGTTGTTTTTGTCTCGGTGTCACTAGCGCGTCGCTCAACTCCCTGGCGATATTCGTCAGAGTACAGTTGAAAATGTTGCAGCATCACTTCCAGCACTTTAACCGGCAGCGGAAGGAAGCAGTCGACAGTCTGAAGTTGTTGTGCGTGAAGCATCAACGCTTGATCAAGTAATTAGTATGGCCGTTTAGTTATCTCGATGTGCCCCAGCGGATCTTATTCCAGATATACTATAGAATTCAGCGAATCGCTAAAATACATAGTACTCCTGGATTACAGTGTGTCATCGGTGACATTCGCGGTGCTGATCCTCCAGATAATCGGCGTAAGTCACTCCTACTAGATTTCGCAAGATTGTGAGTAGTATCTTGGTCCAGGGAAAAGAATTAGTAATCAGTGGCACCATATTGACGTTCACCACGCTCCAGCTCATGACATTTTCGTGGAACTGCAACGAGATAATAGTGCAGGTGATTACGAGCAGTTACGGTAGGATTTCGAAAATGATAGGGTATTTGCAGAGCACTGAGCTGACCACAGCGCTTTTCAAAAGCAATTGGTACTACCAAGATCGATCTGCGAAAGTGCTGATCCAGATAATGATGATGCGGTGTCAGACGCCGCTTTGCTTGCGTATCGGCTGGTTGGGAGTGATGGATCTGGATGCGGGATTATCGGTGAATATAAACGGGGAAGGCTCCCTGACTAAAAGATTATAGTTTAAAACTTTTAGAGGTTGAAATTGGGTTATTCCTACACGTCGATTATCAACAAATGAAATGACAAATGAACGTCGTCAGCCCAATACAAATTAACGCACCAAACTTTTAATTTTAACATAACTAGTAGGGGTAGAAAATTATTTAATGTATGATACACTTTTCACGTGAAGACACTACATAAAATGTGGAAAAACTCTTTTCTTTTTTTTTGTGAACACGTCCGTGACCGATATGTGGGCGATTTTCCTTAGGTATCTGTTATTGCTTGGTTCCAAATTTCTTGTAAAAATAAAATTTCAAAAAAATGGCAAATTTGCATTAGGTTTTGTCCGTTTGTCCACGCTCCAGCTCATGACGTTTTACGATTACGAACAGTCACGGTAGGATTTCAAAAATGGTAGGGTATTTTTAGAGCACTGAGCTGGCGAAGGCCCTTTTCGAAAGCGACTGGTACGATCAGGATCAATCTGCGAAACTGCTAATCCACATAATGATGATGCGGTGTCAGAAGCCGCTGTGCTTGGGTATCGGTTGGTTGGGAGTGATGGATTTGAATGCGGGAATATCGGTGAGCGCTGCTAGGAGAGGTTCGATGGAAACGGTATGGATATGTTTAAGTTTCAGAGGTTGAAATTGGGCGATTCCTACACCTCCGTCATGAACAGGCTCCGTCAACCAGGCTGCTCAGAATTGCGAGATAATACAATGTGCACGATTTTTTATGAAATCAAAATTACTTATGTCTCTGGTATTTTGATGTTGTCTTTTGATTCAGTATTAAAATTATATTTGAGCCTTTGCAAAATGGATTCAAATACAGTTGCCGCTTAAATAAAAAAAAACCTAAATCGGTTGATCCAACCTGTTGCTGAAAATGGTTTAGGAGAAATGACGAAAAGGGAACAAGAAGAAATAACAAGAACAGAAAAGAGCGAGGAGGACAGGGACAATAATGAACAAAAAATATCTCGAAGAAATCCGAAATCCTAATAGGTAGGTACAGAAATAATAAGAAAATATCTATTGTCTATAGAAACATTATCTGGAATGGAAAACCTTTCTTACCAAATGAAAGTCAACTTCATTTTAGAACTTGAAACTCCTTATCAATTTCCAGAGGGCTTATGCTCTAGTTTGATATGTAAAAGAGTTTGCAGGCGGATTTTGGTAGCGAATTATGAGAAGATTTGTGTAAAAGTGAAATTGACCAAGCAGTTTAGCAGTACAAATTGCAGAAAGACGAAAAAATGGACTGACTTTAGCTTGACATAGATCGACATTGTGCCATACCAGCGTATGTAGTTTTTGACAGCGGCGATATCATTCTATCAATCAAAGGGTTCATCAGAGCATTAAATAAATATACTCTAAAATAAAAATAGAAAATCAAGCAAAGATAAACCAAGTGTTTCACCTCTTCTTTGCAGGAAATAGTTTGCAAGTGGCTGGCAATTTTTTTGATAATTATCTTCTATATATTCATTCCTTGCTTCGCGATTCAACAAAAGGTTTGATTCCGGTCGAGCCAGTCTGTCTCAACATCCAGAGTGCTTCAGGGTTCTAATCTCGGACCATTATTATTTAAGAATGTATAGATCTATTGGTTCAGAGCCAGCTCTCTAATGTCAATAAAGGCGTGTACAAAAATTTTATCCTCAACATCTCAAAGTTCAAGGTGTGTCATGTACTTCTACTACACACTAACTTATAACACATACTTTATCTGTTAGAGATTTAGATTGACTTTCGATTCACAGCTTTCGTTTGTTCAACACATTAACTTTATAGTTGAATTATATGGATTTATTTTTCGTAGCTGCTCAGCATTTTCTGGCGTTGCTGGCGTTTCGTAAAGTTCCTTGCTTTTTGGATGAAGGGTGTTTACCCATGATGGTGAAATATTGCGAGACAGGTTTAATATTCAAGCCTTTGATCATAGTTCAGTAAACGGCTTGTCTAATCCTCGTACGTACTTGTCGAGATTAACTTTCGGATTCCGAGAGCAAATGCAAGACATACTCTCACATTCAGCTTAAGAATTCCCAGAACCAATCTATTGCTTAGTCAGTAAAGTGATATTTTGTATTATCGCTTACCTAGATTAGTATTAACATGTAACAAACATTACAAAAGATTTGCTTAACATTCATCAATCATCTGCCTCAGTTATATGTATGTTATGGTGCTATTGTATTTTTATTTTTCTCTTTTTTTACCTTCTCTATATTACATATTCTCTTTTAATTGAGGTGAACTGTTGGGAAAAAATATCTATGGTTATTATTATCAAGTAAAACCTTTTGCTTGCAGCTCTTGCTTTGATTATAAGCAATTACTACATTGTCTGTTGTTTTTTCTAGAAGTTCTATTTCTATTTTCTTCCTTTTAGTGACCCATTGTCTGCTACCAAGTAAACGTTTGTCACAGCAACGCGAACTTTTTCCATTGGAAACAATAAATTGATTTGATTTCTGTAAAAATGAACTAAACTGGCGTCTAATCAAGTTCACCGCAAACAAAACCTCCCAGGGGATATGCCAACAATCGATAATAATAGAGTACCCCTGATGACAGGTCTCCTTGTGCATACATTAAAAGTAAATACGTTCCCCTACCGTATCATTAGGGGGCATAACTTTTGCTTTACGATAAATTGACGGTTTTGCCGATTCTCCCTTGTATTTTTCTCTATCGTAATGTCTGGAAAAAGCCATGCCTATCCAGTCCTCGGTTGTCGTTTCAAACATGAACATCGATTATTTTACGCACGTCAGGAGGCTGATGATGGTGATCGGGATCTGGAAAGTAGACACCGGGATGTCCATCTCCCGAAAGCGGATTTACCGAGTCTATTCTCTGGTTTTCCAATTGTTCTGCCATTCGGTGGCGCTCTCATTGCTAGCAGAAATACCGTCGCTGGCAAAATCTGACGTGGTGGCTGGTGAGGATGTCACCACTGTACAAAACTAACTCCCCCTAAACCTCTTTGTAGCGATGGACAACGCGAATAGGTTCATAGTGTATATCGTTATCATCATCAAGATGACAGTCTGGCAATCGAAAAGGATGGTCGATTTGCTCGGTGTCGTCTTGGACCAAAATCAGCAGATGCGAAGTGCTGCTAGGACTGACCCGGAGATCCTCAGGTTGTATCGGAGACACGTGAGGTACAACCACAAGTTCATGTTCGTCCTTGTCTACTCTGGAACGGTTATAGCGTTCGCCATCGCAGCTATAGGTAAGTTTCTGTGATGAACTCAAGCTACCACCACTTCCTCAGCACGTGGAACTCTAGTAGATCAGCACTTCGCGATAGGTCAAAACGTCTTCTGTTACGGAAGTCAAGGTCATTTCATAAAAAACTCGATTTTAGGTAAATAAATAGGTTAGGAGTTATGGGAGTTATGAAATGAAACGATTCTTCTTCAGGACTATTTACAATTCTTCTGGATTCCTAATGGTTCGCTTGCTTATAAATCAAACTTGCTGCTTCAGAGCTTAATTGAAGGTGGGAGTAGCTAAATGAGGGGCGTGAACATTGGCTGACCTAAGTCGCCTTTAAGATCGTTTAATTGCTCATACATTTTTATGATTTTTCTTTGATAGAAGAATTGGTTACATGCAAGAAACTGCTGATGAGTTTATTAGTCGTTCTCTTAAGTTCTTTGTGCCAGTTGAGATATCTCTGGCTGTCTATAGAATGTATTGTTTGCTTCATATTCATGGAATGCTGTAAACATAGTGGTAAATCAGGTTTTAAAGTTATCTTTCTTAAGAGAATTTTTGATGTCGTTTTTGGAAGGTTGTGGTGAAGTGTGTTTTGTAATAGGACTCCTAATACCTCTAATGGGGAAAATATTAGAGTCAAGATCAGATAATTTTACGGCACTGTAAACAACCAATGATTTTTGAGCCGGATGGTGATGTGATCTGTGGTAATAACGCATCGGTCGGTGTGTATGCGGAGGTTTTTTGTGAAGAGAATGGTAAGACGTATGTTTTGGTGTATATCCTTAACCAAGAGGCCAAATAAGAAAAGTTTCATCGACCCAACTTTTCCATAATTTTGGGTTTAGATGAAAGGTGTTGAAGACTTTCTTCTCAAAGGCTTTCCACATGTTGAGCGTTTCAGAAATGAGGACTTTAGTAAAGTCAAACCTAACCAGAATATACTGGATTTTAAACAATTTTCACTGTAAAGGGTTTTAAGATAGATGCTAGAAAATATGAGTTGACAATAGGTCAAAGTTTGAGTTCCATAGATGACGTACGATCCTTTTTAGGTTGACGATAGGATAGTCGGTTCCTTACCACCAAAGCACTTCTATTATCTACTTGTAGAATTTTAAAGATTTTAGAGTAATACATTCAGGCTTTGCAGTATTAGATTTAGAGGATTGTTTAAGGATTTTTGCGGTTTCAAGTCGAATTTCGTTAGCTGTCTGAGATGGCAGTTTGTTTAGGATTCCATTGACAGGATTTGCTTTTTTGAAATAATAGGTAGGGCTAGGAACAAGTTTCAACCTTTTATATCCCAGTGTGTTGACGTTGACTTTTCAAATTTTTTAACTTGATACTTGATAAACGAAGATTTACAACTCTGGATTTGGATGGATACAAAAGGGAAGCAATTTTAAGGTGTAGAGACAGAAGAGTCTTTTTGATTTATGCCCTTTACGGGTATTATGAATATAACTTTCTGCTTTTCTTGCTGCTCTTCATGCGCCTTTTTATAATTTTTAATTATTAAATTATAATTCGTGAGCATTCATTTGCATTGGTGCTCCTAACTGGTTTCCAGGCAAGCCGTTTGGTGGTGCTTTTGTTTAGACGTGAGGTACATTTCAGGCGGCACCAACATCTATCAATTCATTCAGTCGCCTGAGAATGCCAACGCTACCGAGAAACCATTACTCTATCGGTACTGGTACCCTTTCGACAGGAACAAGTACTACTTGATCGCCTTGGCAGACCAACACGTCAGGCCGACGCTCAGTTGTTTTTGTCTAGGGGTCACGAGCGCGTCGCTCAACTCCCTGGCGATATTCGTTAGTGTCCAGTTAAAAGTGTTGCAGCACCACTTCCAACACTTTCACCAACCAGATGAGGAAGCCCTCGACAGCCTGAAGTTGTTGTGCGTGAAACATCAACATCTGATAGAGTGAGTAGGACAATGAACTCGTTATCTTGAGGTTTCCAGCAGGTTTTATTTTAGATATACTATAGAGTTCAGTGAATCGCTCAAATACATAGTGCTGTTGGATTACAGCGTGTCATCGGTCACATTCGCATTGCTGATCCTTCAGATCACCGCAGTAAGTCACTCTTATTATAATTTCATCCACACGTGAGTAACTTCTTTGTCTAGGGTAAAGAATTAATAATCAGCGCCACCATATTGACGTTCACCACGCTCCAGCTCATGACGTTTTCGTGGAACTGCAACGAGATCATAGTGCAGGTGATTGCGAGCAGTCGCGGTAGGATTTCGAAAATGGTAGGGTATTTTCAGAGCACTGAGCTGACGAAAGCGCTTTTCAAAAGCGACTGGTACGATCAGGATCGGTCTGCGAAAGTGCTGATCCACATAATGATGATGCGGTGCCAGAAGCCTCTGTGTTTGCGCATCGGTTGGTTGGGAGTGATGGATTTGAATGCGGGAATATCGGTAAGCGCTGCTAGGAGAGGTTCTATGAAAACGGGATTAAAATGTTTCGGTTTCAGAGGTTAAAATTGGGCTATTCCTACACCTCCGTCATGAACAACTGACCAGACTGGCGAGATAATACAATGTACACGCAGCACAAATTTTTATGAAATAAAAATAATTTATTATGTCTCTGGTGTTTTGGTTGTCACTCCATATCAAATCACAAACTAACCCTGCTAGGAAAATATCGCGAATTTCCAAAAATTTGTATCGGTCCTTTAAACCACTAACCTTACCTAACTCAAAGGCCAAAAGGATCAACAAACGGAAACAGCAGTAATAAAATTATATTTGATCTTATGGAAAATGGCTTCAAATAGACCTCTAAAATAAAACCTAAATCTGTTGATCCAACGTATTGGTGAAAATGGTGTAGACAAAAAGACAGAAGGAGAACAAGAAGAAATAACAAAGGACAACTACAAGAGTAGAAGAGAGCTGGAAGGACAATGAAAATAAAAAAAGAAAAAATCTCGAAGAAACCTAATAAATTTAAAAAAAAGGCAAATATCTATTGTCTATAGAAATATCATCTGAAATGGAAAACCTTTCTTACTAAATGAAAACCAACTTCATTTTAGAACTTGAAACTCCCTTTCAATTTTTACTGGACAATTTAGTTAAAAAATTATTATTATTTTTATTATTTTATTTAAAAATAGATGTTCTATAAGTGAGTGAAATAATCCAAGCGGTCTAAGAGTACAAGTCGCGGAAAAACTACTGATTCAACAGAGTGCAGAATTTTGAGAGCAGCGATATTTTTCTTTTAATTAAAGAGAGAAATTGATATTTTTTCTAGTTCATAATTGCCATACTGCCATAAATGATAATAATCAAAAATCATGCATTTATAGGTTAACCCAGACCTATTTTTACCCACATAACTACAATGACTTTTGAAAATTTGTTTCACCGCTGCACATTTTACATTGATTGTATCTATTCTCGAAATCCACACTGACTGTTTTCTTCAACCAACGTGTTTGGCACGCCGGTAACTTGCTCAAGCAATATCAATTTGGCATGTTTTCGCCTTAATGCAGATTTAGATATATTTTTTTGATAAGAAATCTAAGACCACAAAACTTTCTGATATAACCTTTTCATCTGAGAATGCTTAAGCAAAAATGAGCTCAGATCAACTATTAAGGAAGCGCATTTTTTTTAAAAGAATGAGACCGGAAGAATGAGTAAGGCGACAAGAAGAAGAAAATCTAGAAGATTTCTTAGACATTTTAATAAACAGGTAGAAAAACAAAAGTATTGTTGCAATCTCTTAGCTATAGAAATATAATCTGGAAAGGAAAACCTTTCTTACTAAATGAAAATCAACTTCATTTTAGAACTTAAATAAGCAGAAATTTGTGAAGACAACATTTTAACATAAACAGGACCAGAAAGACATTTAAAAGGAGATTGATGTCTTCGATTCGTGGTCATGGAAGGAGTTTTGAGGTTTTCTTCAAGCGACAATTATTTCATAGATCTGTTCATGGATATAAGAAAGTGACCAATTGCTTTTGATGAACCCGGTGTTAAATGTGGCAGAACTAGCTTATGGAAGTGTATTTAACACATGGGTTTTAAATTTTTAAAAAAATGACAAAAGGCAAGCTTTAATATCTAGAAAAAATTAGGATTTACAGAGAACAACAAACTCCGATTATTTACTTGGATGAGACCTGGTTCGACACTTATGATACCGCGGGAAAGGGTTGGGTTGACTCAACTGACAAGTGTGAAACAAACGCGCCATCAAAACGAGGTAAAAGAATAACTATTTTGCATGCTGGCTCTAAGGATGGTTGGATTCCAAATGGACTTTCTCTGTCTGCGAAAAATATTAAACATTCTTCTCTGGATTTCCATGAAGACACCGCCGCTGAATTGAATATATTTGAATCTACAAAATAAAAATTATGCAAAAAATCTAGGGCATACAGTTTCAAGGCTCCCACCTTACCGTTTTATATTTGATCCCATTGAACATGTTTTTCACCAACTGAAATTTACCATTCGTCGTAACAATGTTTTTCCTCGTGTTAACTCCAATGTCCTCAAACTTATAGATACCGAGATTTTTAACATCCCTCCACAAAGTTGGGCAAATTCTGTTAAACATATAGAAAAAGCAGGACAATCGTATATCGCAAATAATATAGAACAAATAATAATTAGGACAGGCGATGATAGCGATAGTGATACGGATATATTATGTGAATAATTTTAAGTAATTTAAGTAGGTAATAAAAATAATTTGTAATTTTATTTTAGATTCAGACATAAATACATAAATAAATAAATAAATATTATTTAGTATCTTTCCTAACAAAAGGCCAAATAATTAAATTCTAAGCAAAGTACGGACCTGTTCGGCCATATTTCATTCTTGCAGCTTTCCCGGGTCTTTCCTTAATTCGTATCAGTTAGTCACTTTCTTATATCTATGAACATTTTTTTTGCTCAAAATAGATTCAGCATATGCCGTCGTGAACATTGCACGTGTTTTGCAGCACTGCATTCCATTTTTTGCACAAAATTTTATGCAAATTCTTTGTTGCTCCAAGAATTTCGTTATCAAGGATCAAGATTGTTCTTATCTCCAAAGTAGCAACTGTGTGTTTTATTCCACCAGCGCTTTTTATTTAAATAGACTCCGTACCAATGTCTACAAAACTCGTTCTGGGAGACTGGAAGATCTTATATACGGAAAATGTGACTCTATCCCCTTGAACTTTATGGTTAATTATTCGACAAACTGCCTGGAAATTCAGAGAGTTTCTGGTGACGATAAGGATCTACCGCCTTCTTACTTGGTCACAATTCTCTCTTTTTTAGGTTTCCTTCTATTTTATAACGTATTTGCCACATTATTTTGGGGGGGGGGGGCTGCATTGGTAGCTGCTCAAAACTTTGAAACAAAGTGCTCTAAGAGCCGTGTCCGTTTTTTATTAAACCAGTAATTTAAATTCAATAACTCAGAGGAACAATTCCTCGTGTTCGATAACTGTTGTCTCTCTGATTACGGGCCTCTTTGTACATACAAAAGTATATGTGCGGTTTCGCTTGCCGTGTCATCAGGGAAAACGTTTTCGGAATCTAGCACGCGCAGAGGCGTTACAAATTTTTCGTCTCTCTTCAAAATATGCGTTTTCAAAACAAATAATAATAATAATGATGATAACATTAATAATATCAATAGTAATAATAATAATAATAATAATAATAATAATAATAATAATAATAATGATAATAATAATAATGATAATAGATAGATAGATATCGTTTATTGACCACCTATAAATACATGTATTTGTGAAGTCGAAACTCAGTAATATAACAAAATAGAAATAACAGCAACAATAACAAAAAGAAGAAAATATAAATACAACAACAATTTGATAAATTTAACAAGAAATAGAAAAAATAATATGTATATAAACATATGTTTATAGAAAAAAAAATATAAATAAAAATATTTGCTTGAGTTAACAGTATACACTATATTCTTGGGATATGCGATAGAAATTCCTCAACTGAGTAAAAACCATAACTGGAAAGATAACTTCTAACCGATAACTTAAATTTTCTTATCGTAATTGCTTAGCGTTAGCTTTAAACAAGCGGTTATAGTTGTTCACAAATATGTTATATATGTTCAAATTTAGTTTATTTTTCTGAGTAGTGGCTAATCTAGACTTAAGTGGAACAATATTGCTAGATCCGCGTGTGTTGTAGCAGTGGTAGTCACCATGAGTAGGATACCTCTGCAAACCAGCATGGACCTCCAGAAGGTTGTAGTATATGAATAGGGAAGGCAGAGTTAGAATCTTAAATTTAATAAAAAGCTCACGACAATGTGCTCCAGGAGGAGCCCCTTGGAGAATGCGAACTGCTGCCTTCTGAAGCCGAAAAACCCGATCAGCATCTGAAGAGTTACCCCAAAGAAGCACGCCATAGGTCAGATGACTGTGAAAGAGTGCAAAGTAGATAGTCTTTAAGGTCTTTTGCGAAATGCAGTCTTTTAATTGCCTTAATGCAAAGATTTGAGACGAGAGTTTGGAACATAGATACTTGATATGAGCCGACCAGGTTAGGAAGGTATCGAGAAAGATACCTAGAAGCTTAGCAGGCTGTGACTTTACAGCTCTTTTGTTGGATGTTATTAGCATTATTTTCGTCTTCGATGTGTTAAGCTTAAGTTTATTGGCGGCGAACCATTGGTCAACCACCTGAAGATCAGCGTCAGCCATCACCTTCAAAGTCGCAATATCCATGTCCGAAGAGATCAAGGTCGAATCATCGGCAAATAGAATGCAGTTCGCCGTATCGACGGCCTTTACCAGATCATTAATATAAATTAGAAACAGGAGGGGACCGAGGATGGATCCTTGGGGAACTCCCCTATTAACCGTTACCATATTAGACTCGGTACCGTTAACATATACATATTGCACACGGTCTGCCAAATACGATTCAATCAGACTTAGTGAATTGCCTCTGACGTAGTATTAATAATAATAGTATTAATAATAATAATAATAATAATAATAATAATAATAATAATAATAGTATTAATAATAATAACAATAATAATAAAAATCAATTCAGAAATGTACACCCCAACTCATCAACATAAATATAAATATAAGGAAAATTGGCAGAAATCAGATATCTAAAATTGGAGCGAAATTACTAGAATCTACATGCCGTATCATCCAGTCTATAAGAAATGCTGATAAAAACTCCACACCACTCAACTTAGGTGTGCCAATAGTAACCGATACAACATCAACACTACATTAGGAAATACAAACTTGGAATCATCATCGACAAAACATGTAGCAATTATTAAGTGAATGCCTTTGTTTTTTGAATAAAAGCTAAAAGCTTTGCATGGACCAAGAAACTTCTGTGTCTGTGTTCCTAATTACTAATTTGTCAACGAAATGTTTAGGAATTTGAAAACATATATGGTCAAATTTGAGTAAAATTTTCTGTAGTCGATAAGAAGTCACAGTGTGTAAACAGGGGTAATATTGCACCAAAACAAACGAGGGAGAATAGGACTCTTATGTAACTGTATTTCCATGTCATAGGACTCATTTTGAACTTGAATAGGTCCAAATATAATTTCATCCTGGACTTGACGTTGACTTTCGTTCTCTTGGGAGCAAAGCTAAATCTAAAAAAAACTGAGCTTGGTACTCTGCAACCACACCTGCCATATAAATCAAAAATAATAAGGGACCTAACACTGAGCCCTGCGGCACCCCCCATAAAATATTTAGCGATGACGAGAGAGGAATGTAACGTTATTTCATCAAATCCAATTTGGCAGTCGACAATTTATGATTGAAAGCTGTCGCCATAAACTTGTCACTTGCCCTCACACAATTTCAATAGGGAAGTAACCACCTTGGTGAATTGGAAGCTACCAATCCACAGCCACATATTCATTAATCTGTTTATATATAACTTTTTCCAGACCAACAATTCACTAAATGACCAATGTATTCATCGATTGCGGGCTCCATTTTGATTTGAATTCAAAATTTTAATGGATTTATAGGTAAAATTAGATACACTATTGAATTTGCCAGTATTATAAAAAAATGTCGCACATTTGGTATCACATCAATTTCTTCTGGCTTTGATATCGCGTGAAAAAAGAAGGTGCGACGCCGCTGTATGAGGCCCCGCCCCGACGTATATAATAGCGGCGAGGTCCGCGTATCTCCAATCATGAAGGTGAGCAGCTACTTCACGCACGTGAGGCGACTGATGATGATGATCGGAATCTGGAAAGTGGAGAATCCAGATACTTCCAGGTTCCGAAAACATGCCTACCGAATTTACTCGCTGTCTTTCCAACTATTTTGCTATTCTGCCGCCGTTTCTTTACTGGCGGAAATACCTTCCTTGGCGAAGACGGACGTGGCAGCTGGTAAGCGTAACACCGACTAGCAAAACCACGAGTCAATTTTTATTTGCAGCCATGGACAACGCGAACAGAGTAACAGTGTACATAGTCATCATCATTAAGATGATCGCGTGGCAATCGAAAGAGATGGTCGAGCTGCTTCGAGACATTTTGAGGCAAAACTCGCAGATGAGAGCTGCCTCGCGGACCGACCTCCGAGTCTGTAGGATATATAGAGGTCACTCGAGGCACAACCACAAGTTTATGTGCGTTCTTGTGTCGTCAGCGATTTCAATATGGGTCGCCGTCTCTGGGATAGGTAATGTTTTATACTACATTTAATTTAATTTAATTGAATTTAACTTTATTTATTTGGTGATCAATGGAGATACTACAGCTTTGGAGCCATTAATGCGTGCATAAATTTATATGTACAGGGTGGTCGTAATTGGAATGTTTTAAAAGAAAAACCTATTTCCGAACTAGATAGAGCAAAATAGGGCTACATGTCAAGGGCTCGATTTTTGAGAAACATTCGAGGGTTACAACTGCTCCGTTCTTTAATTTTCGATTCTTTTGAAAATTGAACGTAACTTTTTGAGACTTGCCATTAATTCTTGGAAGTAGTGCTTATTATCAACAAGATGGTCGCCTAGCTCATAACGTAGGGATTATAAGTGAATTTTTAAATGTAAAAATGTTGTATTAGAACAATATAAACATCTAAAATTTAAATCAAAAATATTTAAATTCAATATTAAAAATAATATCTAAAATTAAAATTAAAATACTGGTTATAGGTTAGATGTTTTTCACTTGAGCTGTTTTAAATTGGCCTTATATTTTTAAAGGTTTCTCTGTGACGTCTTCACAGATACCAACAAATCTATGTGGCTGGGCCATAGCCAACCATGATTGCCATGTAATATCGGAAAGTTGTATTCATTTCTGAGCAATCGGAGAACTGTAGAAAAAATCTGAATACGTTGATTCATATATATATATATATATATATATATATATATATATATATATATATATATATATATATATATATATATATATATATATATATATATATATATATATATATATATATATATATATATATATATATATATATATATATGGGGTTTGTTACAACTCGCGCCGTTTTCCCTCTCTCAACCAGACTCTCCATTCATCTTTGTCATTCCAATCTCCGTCTTCCAACCCCCTTTCCTCCATGGCTTCATCTATTTCATCCCTCCACGATCTTCTGGGTCTTCCTCTCTTTCTACGTCCCATAGGGCTCCACTCTGTGATTTTCTTTATCCACCGTCTATCGTCACTTCGTCTGACATGACCATACCATTTAAGCTGTTTTTCTGCTATTGTAGTTAATAAGTCTTTTTCTACATTCATTTGCCTCTTGATTTCTGCGTTACGTATTCTATCCATGCGTGTTCGTTGGCAACACCTTCTCCAATATTCCATTTCGACAAAGGTTACTTTAGATTTGTTCTTTTTGTTCAATAGCCAGGTTTCTGCTCCGTATGTAATTATACTTTCTACTATTGTCTTAAATATTGTTGTTTTTGTTTTCTTTGTTAATTTCTTGTTCCATATAATGGAGTTCAGTTGTTTTATACATGTTCTACCCTGACCTAGTCTAGATTTGATTTCTTCTTCTGTTGATCCATCTTTTGTTATTATACACCCTAAGTATTTAAATTTGTCTGTTGCTTTTACGGTTGTGTTTTCATCTATTTCTAAATCTTCGATTTCCCCTTCTTTTGTTGTTAGATATTCTGTCTTTTCGAAGTTTATTTCCAAACCTACCTTCTCATATTCCTCTTTCAGCTTTCTGAGCATGTAACTCAAGTCGTCTTCATCCTGGGTTATGACCACCTGGTCGTCGGCAAAGCTTAGGGTGTATAAGTGGTCGTCGCGTACTGGGACTCCCATACCTTGACATTTTCTTTTCCATTGTGTTAGCGCCCTCTCAAGATAGATTTTAAACAACGTTGTTGATGTAGGGCATCCTTGTAGTAGGCTCTTTGATGTTGTGAATCGATTTGTGTACCTATTACCTATTTTAACCGACAACTCGTTGTTCTTGTACATTGTATCTACGGCTTTTATTAGTTCTCTTTCTATCCCAATATCTTCCATTGCTTTCCAAAGTTGTTGTCTGGGTATAGAGTCATAAGCTTTTCTTATATCTATGAATGCTAAATGGATGTCTCTGTTTTTAGCTTTTTTCTTTTCGATAGTCTGCCTTACCGTATATATCTGATCAACGCATGACTTCCCTGCCGTGAAACCGGCTTGATCTTCACCTATTTTCCCTATTATCTGGTCTTCTATTTTGTTTTTGATTATCTTTCCATATAGTCTTCCCATGCTTGATATAATGCTAATTCCTCTGTAGTTGGTACACTTCCTACGATCCCCCTTCTTGAAAATAGAGCTTATATATGCCGTATTCCACTCCCTTGGTAACGTTTCTCCATTTATTGCTCTTTCAAACATGTTTTTCAATATTCTGAATAATTTGTCCGACCCATACTTAATAAGTTCATTCACTATCCCCCCTGGCCCTGGTGATTTTTTGTTTTTTAATTCTTTAATGGCTTTTATTATTTCTTTTTCTTCTATTGTTACATGCTTTAGATTGTTGTTAGGTTGTATTTGGTATGTTAGTTGTTGCCAGAATTGTGGTCGTGTCTCCGTTAGTAGTTGTTGATAATAATTTTCCCATTCGGTTTCTTTGATAAACTGTATATTGACTTTCTCTTTGGTATTTGATCTGACAGATCTTATTGTTCTCCATGATTCCGAGCATCTTGTACCTCCTGTATACTGTTGTATGTTTTGGCAGAGTCTATCCCATTTTTCATTTTTTTCTTTACTAATTAGTTTTTTTGTTTCTCTGTTTTTGTCCTTATATTTCTGTAGGTCTTCTCCCGAATTTGTACAGAGCCATTTTTGGTGTAAGCGCTTTTTTTTCCTGAATAGCTGCAATAGCTTCCTCACTAAGTTCTTCTGTATATTTTTTGTTCTTTCCGTCTTCCTCTCCTAATGCTTCATAAGCTGCCTCTTTAATGCTCTTCTTCACGTGTTCGTAAGTGTCTGTTAAATTATTAAAATTGAACTCTATTAGTTTTTCATCAAGTCTACGTCTGTACAAATCTCTTATTGTTTCTTCCTCTAGGAGGTGAATTTTAAATCTTTTGTCTTTTATTTCCTGGTTGTTTTGGTTGTCTTTTTGTTGTTCTTGTTTTGCTATCTCTTCTTTGTTTTTCTTTGCTACTCCATACCAAGGAAAGTGCATGTACGCAACTACTAGTCGATGATCGGTTCCACATTCAGCGCTTCTTTTAACTCTTACATCCTGTATCTTAATTGTTGTAGTTATCCTAACAACTATGTAATCTATTATGGATCTTAGATTCCTAGTTTCTTGTATCCAGGTGTATTTGTGGATGTCTTTATGTTTATAGAAGCCGTTGGTAATTTTTAAGTCGTTTAATTCGCAAATTTCAATTAATCTTTCACCATCATTCATTCATTCATTCTATTCATTTCATTCATTCATTCATCTACCCCAAAAAAAATGTTTCCATCTAAATCCAAAATTTCAAAAGAGTCGAAAATTGAAAAGCGCCCTATTTTTCCATTAAATGTTCCTTCCTTTGAATCGAGACACATTCCTTATTTTTCAATGATGATGTGGAGAGGCATTATATTATTATTTTGTATAACTAACTAAATGCAAGCTCGAATGTGATAATTTGGTCTTCGATGTACGTGAAATCAGAGAAAATTTGCTTTTAAAATCGATGGTGAGCAGTCATTACTTTTAAAAAGTTTAATATACCGTTCCTAAGTCCACTAAGTTATTTATCAGGCATTTTCTCGGGCAAAATCGCAAGGTTTAAAATTAAGTGTTCGTAGTAGCTTTTTGATTGATCTACTCGCAATTCGGAGGTTTTTCATCTGCCTGAACCGTCTACCATTTGTTTCTCGGAAATTTTTGAATAACCGTCTAGGATTCTTAGGTGAAAATATGTACAATAACATGACTAACATTTTACTCTGTACCTTAATGAGGAAAATAAATCAAACCAGGATTACCCATGCGACCTTTTGTTAGCATCAACATATTTTATAGCAAAATAGCTTCCCATTCACTTCAGATATATTACAATTAGAGAATCTGGAAGTAAACCTTTTCATATTAATTGAAAAATGGAGCATGTTATAGTTGTAACGGTCAAATTTATGAATAAAAATTTGGAACAGCCATGGGTTCTTCATTATCATCAATCACTGCGAATATATTTATCGAAGCTTTTGAGAAGAAAGCCTTCATACCTTCCATCTAGAACCAAAATTATGGAAAGGGTACGTTGACAGAAAAGCTAAGCACCTTGTAGCCCAACAATCATTGGTTACTAACTTTTTTGTTTATAGAACCCTAAAAGTATATCAGCCATAGCCCTTTAATATGCTCTTCTCTCCAATAATTTAAAAATAATATACGTTCCATCAAAAAATACCCTTCACCATAACCTTCCAGAGACAATGAGTTCGGAAGCAACCATACACTGTTTGCCTCCTCTACATTCAAAATATCATTCACTACATGTCAAAAGTTCTTAACAAATATAACTTTAAAACCAAATTTACGACTTGTCCAAAAATCTCTCAACATCTTCTCTCAGAGACAAAATTCCGTATGAGATACCAAGAGCTTACAGTATTCGATGCTAGGCCATAGGAACATGAAAGAGTCTAACACAAATAGACCAATCACCAACACAATCACCAGTTGCCCAACACAATTATTCTTGCATTTAACCAGATTTGTAAATATTATTACAGTAGCCTGAGGAAGTTTATTTGAAAACTTCTTAATTTCTTCTGCTTAATTGGATTACATTATGTTTGTCAAATTGTCTCATCAATTGCATTCAATAAGACAACTTAACCAGTATCTAATATAACAAATTGGGGGGCTGCTAACTCAAAGTACCTGATATAGTCGCTATTAGGAAACCTCCAGGTTTATCGGTTCATCCGTGCAGCGGAAAACGTCAACGTCACCGAAAAACCACAGCTCCTTAGGTACTGGTACCCCTTCGACAAGCACAAACACCACGTGATCGTCATGGTTGATCAGAACGTCAGGCTTGTACTCAGTTGTTTTTGTCTTGGTGTCACGAGCTCGTCGCTCAACTCGCTGGCCATATTCGTCAGGGCCCAGTTGAAAATGTTGCAGTATCGTTTCCAGCACTTCCACAGGCGTGACCAAGACGCTCCCTACAGCTTGAAGCTGCTGTGTACCAAACATCAACGCTTAATCTCGTAAGCGGTCGTAGGGCTGATTTTTTCTGCTGATTTCAGGCGATGTTATTATAGATACACCATCAATTTCAGTCAATCGCTCAAGTACATAGTGCTTCTGGATTACACGGTATGTTCGGCTACGTTCGCACTGCTGATCCTTCAAATCATGGCAGTAAGTGAATCGTACTCGGCTAGGCTAGAATCTCAATCGCCTGTTGATCCAGGAAGAAGAGCTGTTAATCAATTTCACCATACTGACGTTCACCACGCTCCAGCTGATGACTTTTTCGTGGAACTGCAACGAGATCATAGTGCAGGTAATTGCGAGCTCGAAGCTGTCAACGGCGCTTTTCAAAAGTGACTGGTACGATCAGGAGAAATCTGCGAAAGTGCTGATCCACATAATGATGATGCGGTGCCAGAAGCCGCTTTGCTTGCGCATCGGATGGTTTGGGGTGATGGATTTGAATGCGGGGATATCGGTGAGCGTAGATAGGAAACGCTTAGTGAAAAGAGTTGGACAATTTGAAAGTTTCAGAGGCTGAAATTGGGATATTCCTACACCTCTGTTATGAACAAATGAGAAAAGTGATATGTCGATGTTGCCATTCACTCGTACCATAATCTTTTGTAAAATAAAAATAAAGTATTAAGCTGCTCGTGGTTTTTAGTTGCTTCTCTTTCGGAACATAAAAATATTTTCAACTATTAAATTAGAGCAAAAAACTTTCAAATTTTCACAATTATTTATCGATTGATGGTAGCAAACTTATATTTTTATACGTTCTTTGATGTTCGTTAAGACATTTCCCGAATGTTCTACTTGTTTGTAGGTTCTTTTATTAATTTTTATTATTTTTTTCATTGTTCCAATGGACTCTTAAGATCAAATTTAGGTAGAAACTTTCTTGCTAGGTTCTACCATCCATTTTACTGGTTCATAAATTTTGAGTTCGGTGTCTAATATGGGAGGGACAGTGGGTTATTTGAAACTGCTTTTTGGTTACAGTCTTATCTGTCAAAGAGGGGTCGTAACCATTGTTAAAAGCTGTTCGTTTTATAATATTAATTTATTTTTCAAAATTTTTGGTGGGAAGTCTGGGAAAAAGAATAAAATGAAGCCATTTTGTGTGTGGGGGTGATTTCAGCCATTATGTCTTACTGTCTCCGTCGCTACGGTAAATTTTATACGCTTGTGTGTGCACTTAATATGATTCAAAAGGGAGAGTGGTTGAAACAAGCAAAAACATCATCTACCTATCTAGACCACCAAAGAAATCTTTTACTTATATAATGTGTGTGAATGATATTTTTGAAATTTCTGCAGACTAAGTGGGTTTTCCTATAATTAATCCTTCCTTAGCAATAAACATTTAATTAAATTAACAAACTAACCAGAACTATTAAACTGTCTAGTAAGTTTTGTGTTATGAGGGGGACGACTGAGCGAGAATATTGACTATTATGTTTAGTAAGTTTATATTTATATTATTATAATTATATTATATTATATAATGTATATGATATTTTAAGTTTTTTATTAGTTTGCACCTGTTTATATATTGTCTGTGTCCCATATTGTTGACAGGTAAAGATCTGAATCGCGGTTAAGATTGGTTCGTTGTTTATGGATTTCTATGGACTCTCAGATTTTTCCTTGGTAGAAGAACTAATGACGTGCAAGATTTTGATGTCCGACCCGAGAATTTGGAGGCAAACCTCCTCATCTTAGTTGAAATAACCTCGTCTAAGAAATATAAAATTTATTTGGTTTCAAATTTCATTATATTTTTGTATAGGTATGGTCTGTTCATTGCTTTTGAATGGGATTATCCAAGGGTGGTCATTAACATACAATGCAACAAGATTATTACCTAAACTTTCGGAATTTAAATTCAGGTATAATTGTGGTCCGTAATAGAAAATAATTTTATACCTACCTGCGTTTACTATTCTTTGGTTTGGTATACTACTTAGTTTAAGTTTATTAGTAATCATTCTTATTTCGTGTGTAATACAGCGTGTGTTGAATCGTGTGCGAATTATGCAAAATATGTGCGAGTCTAGTATATCTCAGGAGATACTCCCGCCCAAATGTAGAAAACGCGCCATCAAAAAGAGGTAAAAGAATAAGTAATTTGCATGCTTACTCTAAAGATGGTTGTATTCCAAATTTACTTTCTCTGTCTGCGAAAAATATTAAAGATTCTTCTCTGGGTTACCATGAAGACACCACCGCTGATTTATTTGAAAGTTGGTTTAAAAACAAACTAGTTCCAAACATTCCTCCTATTAGCGTAATTGTAATGGACAATGCAAGTTATCACAGTAGACGATTCACTAAAACCCCTTCCTCACGTGACACAAAAGCAACAATCCAAAACTACATGTATAATAACGACATTTATTTTCACGAAGATTATACCAAAAAGCAATTAATTGTATATTTAATCCCATTGAACATGTTTGGCACAACTGAAATCTGCCATTCGTCGTAAACAATGTTTTTCCCCGTGTTAACTCCAATGTTCTCAAACTTATAGAGACCGAAGCTTTTAGCATCCCTCCACAAAGTTGGACAAATTTTGTTAAACATATAGAAAAAGCAGAACAATCGTATTTCCATATTGGAGAATAATATAGAACAAATAATAATTAGAACAGGCGATGAAAGCGATAGTGATACTGATATATTATGTGAATAATTTGAAGTAATTGAAGTAGGTAATAAAAATAATTTGTAATTTTGTTTTAGATTTAAACATAAAGTCATACATAAATAAATAATTATTGTTTAGTATCTTTCCTAACAAAACCCCAAATACTTAAATTCTAAGCAAAGTACGGACTTGTTCGGCCATATTTCATTCTTACAGCTTTCCCGGGTCTTTCCTTAATTCGTATCAGTTACTCCAAACTCATAAGATATTACGCTGCCTGGTGGGATATTTGAAAGAGGAGAAGACTATATTCGTTTATTTTGCACACCCTGCATCTGAAAACAATTTCCGTTGAATATACTTCCATTTACTACATTACCTCATAAATTATTATGAACCGCACGCTATTGTTGACTTTCATTTTTATGTGCAATCCGCCAAACCCAAGCAATCTTAATTCACAATAACTCTTGCTTCCAGCTCTTGCTTTCATTTTATACATTTACCACAAAGTGTTCACTCTGATGGCTCGTTGACTGAGAGCAAGACACGAAAAATGTATCTGATTTCGATATAAAACGCCACGTTTCGCAAGGGACATAGCCAATATCCGATAATGATAGAGTTCTGTGTGCATACATTAAAACCAAATGTGTAACTTGCCGTATCATTAGGGGCGTAGGTTTTGCGTCGCGAGGAATTTCCGGGTTTTCCTTTGTGTTTTCCTCCGCCAGTAGCATGCCCAGTTCTTCATTGTCTCTTGGAACATGAGCTTGGACTATTTCACTCACGTCAGGAGACTGATGATGGTGATCGGGATCTGGAAAGTGGACACCACGATGTCCATCTCTCGAAAACGGATTTACCGAGTCTACTCTTTGTTTTTCCAATTGTTCTGCCATTCGACAGCGCTCTCGTCGCTCGTAGAAATACCGTCGCTGCTGAAATCTGACGTGGATGCTGGTGAGCACGTCATCACCATAAAAAACTGACTCCCCAGCCAAAGCTTCGTTGCAGCGATGGACAACGCGAATAGGATCGTCGTGTACATCGTCATCATCATCAAGATGATCATCTGGCAATCCAAAAGGATGGTCCGATTGCTCGGCGTTGTCTTGGAGCAGGACCAGCAGATGCGAAGTGCTGCTTTGAATGACCAGGAGATTCTCAGGTTGTATGGGGGACACGTGAGGTACAACCAAAAGTTCATGTTCGTCCTCGTCTTGTCTGGGACTTCAATAGCATTCGTCATCGCAGCTATAGGTAAGTTTCTGTGGTTGGAGCAAGGTACCACCACTTCTATTAGCTGTGGAGGGGCCAAGGTACAGCATAACGTGGAACCTAGTGGACCACCACTTTGGGGTAGGTGAGAACGTCTAGAAAATATTGAATAGTTGTTCACGTATAGCATAGGCCACTACCTTATCTCAGAAACTGTATGGGATGGAACCAAAAGCCAAATACAAAAGATAATTGAGGTATTACAAACCTTTAATTTATTTACATATGGAATAATACTTTATGTGTAAATTCTATACAAAATTCTAGATATATTATGTCCTGAGTCTAAAAGTTTTTGATATTTTAAATTTTTTAGGATTTTCCAATACTTCAGAATATATTTTACCTTGAACAAAGAAAAAATATAGACCCCGTCGTGTTTTAAATGACAAAGAGCAACTTAATATTTTGTTGAATTTTGCAGTCATCCCGAAGATTCAGCCCGAAATGCGTCTTTAGATCTGGATGTCAAAAGAATAACCCTTCGAAAATGTTTACAAATAAACAACTGGAAGTCCTATAAATTCTGTCCAGTGCGGAAATTGCAGCAACGGAATTACCACATCAGGTTGTATTTTTGCAAAATAAATAAGAACTAAAAGTTCAGATTTTCACGAAATTATATATTTTGACATGACAATTGTTTCGACAACAACGTGTCTATGAAATATAATTTGATGACATTTGATAAAGACACGGTGTTGTCGAAACAATTATGTCAAAATATATAATTTTCTGAAAATCTGAACTTTTAGTTCATATTTACTTTGATAAATGGATTTTCATCAAATAAAAGCCACCTCAGTTCAATTATATTTTTGCAACAATCTTAGGGAGAGACACTTTTCAGGAAATATTATTTGAATAGATGAGTCCATATTTACAAGCTCAACTAAAATTTTTAATGGGAAAAATACCCATTAGTGGAGCAACAGGAATAATAAAAACATGTGGAACTTATAAAATCAGGTAGAACTTCTGTCAAAGTATGGTGCAACATTTAGAGGTTCAGAATAATAGGTACAGTATTTATTGATAAGAATTTCAATTCTCAATACAACTTAGAGCTTTTAAATATTATCCAACCATTTGTTGAAAATGAAGTGCCCGAGAGGGAACGACGAAATGTAATTTGGCAGCAGGATGGAGCTCCTTGTCACAGAAGTCCCGAAATTAGCACCTATTTCAACGCACACTACGGAGAATGGATTGGGGAGAATGGTAGATACGCGTGGCCTCCAAGGAGCGCGACTTATTTCTCCTAGATTTTATTTTATTTTACACTTAAAAATTTAATTTACAAACACAAACCGATAAGAAAAGGTATAGGATATTTAAATGGTACTGAGTCTGTTAGAAATGCTATTATGTATAACGTATTCTGTATAAATAATTCATACATACATTTACATAATTTTTGGATCTTCATAAGATCTTGCATCATCAAGATTATGTTCAACTATGAAATGATAAATCATAGTGGCAGCCCTTTGGCACTTATATGGCAATGAACTAGGTGTTTCATTTAAAATAGTAAAATTGATACTCGCTCACGAAAAATGAAAGACCCTGTATATAAATTAAAGGTTTGTAATACTTCAATTAACTTTTGTATTTAAGCTTTGGCTCCATTTCCAGTACATATCTTTCAGGAGACATAAACGTCTATCAATTCGTTCAGTCGCCTGAGAATGCCAACGCTACCGAGAAACCGTTGCCCTGCCGGTATTGGTACCCTTTCGACAGGAACAAGTACTACTTGGTCGCCTTGGTAGACCAGCACGTCAGACCTACGCTGGGTTGTTTTTGTCTTGGTGTCACGAGCGCATCGCTCAACTCCCTGGCGATATTCGTTAGAGTCCAGTTAAAAGTGTTGCAGCACCACTTCCAGCATTTTCACCAGCAGCAGGACAAAGCACTCGATAGCCTGAAGTTGTTGTGCGTGAAACACCAACTGTTGATAGAGTGAGTATCAGAGTCGTTTGGTTATCTCGAGCTGATTTCGTTTTAGATATACCATAGAGTTCAGCGAATCGCTCAAGCACATAGTGCTGCTGGATTACAGCGTGTCGTCGGTCACATTCGCGGTGCTGATACTCCAAGTCACAGCTGTAAGTGTTTCGTGCTAGATTTCGCCCAATCGGAAGTAGTTTCTTGGTTCAGGGAGAAGAACTGATAATAAGCGTCACAATATTAACGTTCACCACGCTTCAGCTGATGACGTTTTCGTGGAACTGCAACGAGATCATAGTGCAGGTGATTGCGAGTGATTGCTTTTCAACTTTGTGAATATCTGTGTATTCTTAGAGCACTGAGTTGGCGACAGCGCTTTTCGAAAGCGACTGGTACGATCAGGAGGAATCTGCGAAAGTGCTGATCCACATAATGATGATGCGGTGCCAGAAGCCTCTATGTTTGCGTATCGGCTGGTTGGGGGTGATGGATTTGGAAGCGGGAATGTCGGTGAACATAAACCCGGAAGAGTCTTTGACTGGAAAACTATAATTTAAATCTTTTAGAGGTTGAAGTTGGGTTATTCCTACACCTCCATTATGAAGAAATGATGAGCCCGTTCGTCGGCAAATTAACGAAGTAAAATGAACCTCCGCATCACTATTCAGATCAGGGCACTAATATTAGTATTTATATATAATTAAAAACGTAAACTGAACAAAGAGTTAACTAAGTTTAACAAACTGTAACTCCTATAGAAAATAAAATTACTTAATGTATAGTCTTGTTAGGGAGACACTAAATGAAATGTTCTTTTTTAGTCATCACCTCCGAATGCCTCAATCAAACTCAAACTCTACTTGACATTGATCGTCATTGATCATGGAATTCTCTGTATGTTATTTTCAGATTTGAAAATAACATACAGAGTCTTCCATTTAAAAATTGAAAGTTGATATACGTTACGAGTGTATCTGGCAACACCGCATATGTGGATTTTCGTAGGATCTTTCAGAAAATAATGATAATATATATGGCGTGCCATTTAAGAAAATAGAGGTTATTCAATTTGAAATGATGCAAATATATTCGTTTATTTTGAATGCCTTATAGCATTTACTTGAAATTCTCTTTTTTAAGAAGTCTCCGAATAACGCTAGTATCAAATATGGAATGCAATAAAATGAAAGTTGGTATTCTACATACCAACATACCTGAAATTAATAAATTTTAGATACGTATTATTTTTAATAAAATCTTTTTAACTTTACTTTACTCTATCATTGACTCACTCGGTACAAAAGGGTTCTACTTTGCATTTTCTTGAGCGACGGTTGATGTTTCAAATATTTTGTGTTGGAAAGCACATATAATTTGTATAAAAATTTGGTTAAAAAAACTGCTGAGTTCGTTGTGTTAATGCGGCACTACATGTTATATATTATATTTATTTATTATACGCCTTTATCTTAGTGGAACTCTTTTAAATCAAATTACTGCCCGAAGAATTATAGAAATAATAATATTAAATTCATTTCATTCATGTCTTCTTAATTAATAGTCCCACATTAATTATAGCTTAAACATACTAACCTCAGTTTTGTCGCCTACATTATTACAGACCCACTACGTAAGGAACTGTCCACCCCTAGACTTCAAGGCGAATAAAAACACAATTCCATGTTGCAAAGCGGTATGTACAACAGATAATTATAGACCTTGTGATTACAGGGCCCTTTGTTCGCGGTTTTCAAACACGTGTGTGGTTTCCTTTCGCCTTATCATTACGGAAAAACATTTCCCGATCACAAACTCGAAAAGGTTGACAAGACACTCAGGAGCGTAGCGAATTTTTTTTTTTCTGTCTAAGGCAAATGCTATAATATTAGTTGGCAATGACAAAATGACAACTGAGTAAAAAAATCATACAATATTTGTGGTGTCAGAAAAATTAGAAAAAAAAATGTATGGATTTTCCGAAACTTAAATTGATTGATATGACCTTTATACTGCTTGAGGCGGAAAAAATTATGCGGTTGTTTTTGTGACATTGAACATGTAAACCGGAATATTACCATTGAGGAAAAAGAAATGGAAATTTTAATTCAAGCCCAGGTCAGTAGCTAAATGGTATGATACATCCCAACCTATCAAATGTCATCCTTTCCATATGGAACTATACCAAAAACTTTTAGAACAAGGGGTAAACTTCTGCACCGCTATAAATGAGGCCCCATTGAGTAGATAACCAAAGGGGGTTGCACAACACATAACCTCAAAAATGCCGAATTCTTAAATAATTATAACCCCCAGAAATGGATCGGTAGGTGCGGATTCGTTATATGGCCTCCCAGATCATGTGACTTAGCACTAATAAATTTCTTTTTGTGTAACGTCCACGATATTGTACAAAAAAGATTAAATAAGTGTATTTAAGTAGGAAAGTATATTTCTTGCGCTTTGATAATAATAAAAATACTACCTTTTCTGTAGCTCCAACAAAGTTCTTTCCCCATTTCATTTTTAAATTTTAACCTGTCCTGTTGGGTAAGACAGAAAGAAGTTTAAATGTCGGAAGAGTTAAAATAAATCTCAAGGTACTGAAAAAATTTCTCGTAACTTTTCCAACTAACCAAAACACTATCTTCGATTTATCCTGAACACCGTTACCAACCCAAATTTTATCAATGAACGTCTCACTCATTCACATTAACAATATCATAAAATTTCCAACAATAATGAAAAGTAAATATATATATATATATATATATATATATATATATATATATATATATATATATATATATATATATATATATATATATATATATATATATATATATATATATATATATATATACATTTCTGTGTGTTTCTTTATTATTTCATTTTCGCAAAGACAATATCCCAAAAACTTCAGTTATTATCAAAAATAAACGAGCGTATTTATTTACAAAATTTACACGAAAAGCGTAATTGATAAGATGATTCTGCGCAGCAAGTTTCTACTCGCCCTGTATAATATAATAGCGATAAAATTTGTAGGAAACCAAGGAATATTCCAGTCGCATACTCTTAGCCAGCGTGCGACGCCGCTGGCGATCAATCCCCATAATTTGTACGTAATATATAAAGGCGGCGAGTTCCGCACCCCTTCAATCATGAAATCCGACTATTTCACGCACGTCAGAAGGCTGATGACGGTGATCGGCATCTGGAAAGTGGAAAATCCACGTCACTCGGTGTTTCGGAAACGGGTCTACCAAGTCTACTCTGTGTCGTTCCAAATGTTCTGCTATTCGGTAGCTTTGTCGTTACTCGCCGAAATACCCGCGTTGGCAAAGTCTGACGTCATGAGTGGTGAGGGTCGAAAATGAAGTTTGAGCTCCCGACATGCGTTTCGTTGCAGCGATGGACAACGCGAACAGGTTCACGGTGTACATAGTCATCATCATCAAGATGATCGCGTGGCAATCTAAAAGGATGGTCGATCTGCTTGGGGTCATGTTGCAACGAAACTCGCAGATTCAAGCAGCGTCACGAGTTGATCTGGCGATCCGCAGGTTGTATCGCAATCACGTGAGGTACAATCTCAAGTTTGTGTTCGTCCTTGTCTCCTCTGGGGTTGTCATTTCGCTTAGCATTTCTATGGCAGGTAAGTCTTTTGCCCACGTTTTTATTCCGTAGTCCATTCAATCAGAGAAGCTGCTTATCCACTCATTGGCCACATGACCACAAAACATCTGCTTTCTTCCGACTCTACTATCGTTTTCTTTCCCCTCCAAAATTAGTTGCAGCAGTCGTGTCTAAAAATGCTTCCTCTTTTAACAGCTCCACTTAATCTTTCCTCATTGGTTACCTCTGGAAGCGTTTTCTGATGTGGTATCAAAAATTGTCACTTTTCTCTTTTTATTAGACGTTGTTGTTGGCATTCGTCATCAAGCTCTTTGGACATGTCGTAAACTATCTGTCAAACTAAGCCCTTGTCGCATATATAAATCCATTCAATGGGAAACCATTTATCAGGAATTACACTCCCAATGCACTGGAAATTAGAATTTTGATTTGGGAGGTATCATGGAAAAGGAATGCTTATCATTTCGTCCCCTTTTGAGTATTGCTTCAATGCGACTCCAAAGAACGCACAGCAGTAATGTCGTGTTGGAACCTTTTCTTGAGGTTTACAACGCAACGTTAAAGACAATTATATATCTAGTGTGAAAAAGTTTCTATTGTAATAAGAAATATCAAATCAACGCAAAATTCTGATTCAGAGTCAGTTTTGTCTTTGACTAAAAAAATGATCTGAATTGATTCCAAGAATATCAAATTGAAAATTCCTGTTACCTTTTGAAAGATTTACAATTTGGGTAATGTTTTGTCAATACGTTTTCCTATATCGGGTAAAGTTCAACATTGCGCATTGCCATTGCTCTTTTGCTGAATTCATTTACTTGATTTTTAGTTTGGTTGTTTCAGAATGGTTTGACTCTAAATGCATATACTGTAGGTTTTATATACACAAAGGTGCTGATTGAGCCATTCTTTCCACTATCTATGACAGGGGTAATTTTAATAGGGAAAGGAATCTAGCTGTCCAGGTGCAGCGAAGCAAGATCCTGAGTTTAACAATTGACGCATCTATAGCGTGAGTTTCAAACAACTACATGTATATATTCCAAACCACCAGAGAGAGGGGGGAGCCCATCGATAGCTCATCACGTTCTGGATTAAACTGGACTTGTAAGTGAGAGTTATGCAGACAGCATATAAGGGCTCCATCACTTTCTCCTGTTGCAAGAAGTTCTGGCGCCGACAATGTCTAACGATTTCTCCATGTAAACTTTCCACTTCAGAGCTAACAAATTTGTCTGGAGGACACGATCTTCCTTTTTTTCCGTATCTGGACGATTTGAAGAAGAAATCTGCTAGTCGAAGAATCCTTCAAACTGACGATAGGTCTTAGTGGTGCAATATCTACAAGATGTGGTGGTTTTGTATCATGCTCAATAAGTTCCACCTTCAATCTTTGCAGTGTTCCTGAATATCCATGATGGCTGTCCACTGTTCACCGTCTTTTGCAAGTCTTTGATTGCTGCTTGTTCCTCGTGTTTTTTTTTTTTTTTTCATCTACCAAAGAGTTCAAACTTTTCATCGCAGGTCTTTGCTTGCAGTTGTAAAGTCTAACGAGGAGCAAGGAACAAGTCAATGTTTGTTGTTCAGTATTGGAAAGGTTGCTTGATGATTGGTTTAATATTGTGAGTTTCCTTTTTTTGTTGTTGTTTGTTGATTAAAGCAGTTGTTTTTCAAATTTGAGCAGCTTTCTTTTATTTCCTCTAACTTCTGTTGGATTTACCCCATCAATTACCAAGATCTCTGCGAGACTAACAGTGTGTTTTAGGATTTGTGGGCGTGTATCGATTCATCCATTCGCCGGAAAATGGAAATGGCTCCGAAAAACCGCTGCCTCTTAAGTTCTGGTACCCTTTCGACAGCAAGCAGCACTACCTGCTAGCTTTGGCGGATCAAAACATTCGACCGACGCTGAGCTGTTTTTGTCTAGGTGTCACGAGTGCGTCGCTCAACTCCCTTGCGATATTCGTTAGGGTCCAGTTAAAAGTGTTGCAGCACCATTTCAAGCACTTTCGCGGAGGGCTGGAAGCGGCCATCGACAGTTTGAGGCCGCTGTGCATCGAACACCAACGTTTGATAGCGTGAGGCGCTTATTTTTCTGTTCGTCTCCCGGCGACTTTCATTAGATTCGTTGTAGATATACGATAGAGTTCAGCGAATCGCTCAGGTATATAGTGATGCTGGATTATACGGTTTGCTCGGTCACATTCGCTTTGTTAATTTTCCAAATAGCAACCGTAAGTGTCACCCCATTAGGTGCGTAGCTAGGCAATGTTCCGTTTTCCAGGGAGAGGAGCTATTAATGAACTTCGCCCTGTTAACGTTCACCATCTTCCAGCTGATGACGTTTTCGTGGAACTGCAACGAGATCATAGTGCAGGTGCGTCTATGTGATCAGAGTTTGTTTTGTCGTCCAATGTGGGCCCTAAAGGCGGGTTCCCGCAAATAATTTGAGAAATAAAAATTAATAAGTGGATTTTTAAGGGTTCAGCAGTTTCGTCAACTGGCGCAAGAACGCGTATATACCGGGTGCATTGCAGAACCAAACATAGAAAATATTGTTTCCCTTATACATTTTAAAGCAAAACTCGTATGCCGAGTTTGAATAAATTATTGATCAGTCTAATTAGAAATTGTTTACAGCATAGGTAATAAATCAAGCACCAGTAAAATAAAATTTGACAATGACAACACGAAAATTCGCCACAGTAATAATATTTTTATTTACGATTGTTATACGTTATCAAACACGTTTTAATCAAAGCTAAATTGAAGAAAAAGTAACCATAATTAAGTGGTATTATGCAGGAAACAGAGCAGTGACTGAAATGGTTTCGGTTCATTTTCCTGCTGAAACTGTACCGTCGATGTCAACAAATAAAAATTAAATTATTACCCAATTCGTGTCCAAAGGCACCATAATAAACAACTGCAAATGTTTAGCTGTCGATAATAGAGCAGAAGACAGAGACAATAGCAACTGCATGTAGAGGAAAACAAATAAACATCAAACCATATTGTTGGGCACATTAAAAAAACACAAATATTTTTCCTATAAATACGAAAAGCACCAAGAGCTGGTAAAAGGTAAATAATTATAGATTTTTTAAAAACCATAACGAATCAAATGTTCAAAAGTGTTGGTATCGGAGCCTCAAAAAATAAATGTGTTGATGGGAATTTGCGGACGTCATGTTATTGGGCCATTGTTTATGCATTATAACCTCACGGCAGGAACCTATTTGGACTGATTACAAAATCAAATTGAATCGACACTAGAAGAAGTTGTTCGCGAAGATCAGATACCAAACGGATTGTTGTCACGCCCATAATTGCTGCAGGTATTTGGGAAATACAGTCGAAACTCTATATAGCGAAATTGAAGGGACTGCTTTTTTTTCTTAGGAACATTTTATATAAATATTTAAGAACTACATTTAATGTTTCATGCTGAAATTTATAATCTTCTCTTGAAGCTTCCTTGTCGCTTTAAGGGACGAGAAGATCTTAAGTACCGGGTATGAGTTTGATTCTAAGAAAAACATAATAAAACCCACATCCCTTTTTGCATTTCTAAATTGTAAACCAACCTTTATTTGATACGTCATTGTCCAGCTTGACTTCGTCCACTTTTGGAAATATCGTGATGACAAATATTCGCTGGTGTTTGTTGTATTGACCTTTTGTATTTGTATTTATTCAAACTCGGCATATTGCAATGCCGTTGCGTGAGTCACATCATAACTACGAGAAATGACGAAATGATCTTGAAGTCTTCATCGCTTCGTTTGAAAATGTTTTTGAAGAAAGAAGGCACAATCCATATCTAATATATTCTGCACTGTACTGTTGTTTCCTGTATTTATTTATTTTTTTTGATTCCGACATACCTTGGGTTTCACAAATACGTAAATTAAGTGTGTTCCCAGAGCACCGGGCTGGCAGATTCGCTTTTCGAAAGTGACTGGTACAATCAGGGTCAGCACGCGAAAGTACTGATCCGCATAATGATGATGCGGTGCCAGAAGCCTCTGAGTCTGCGTATAGGATGGCTGGGAGTGATGGATTTAGATGCGGGACTCTCGGTGAGTACGAAAGAATCTATAAAGACTGGAATAAAATTTCAAAAAGGTTTCAGAGGCTGAAATTGGGTTATTCCTACACCTCTATTATGAAGAACTGATGAGCGTTTCGAAACTTTTTGTACGAAATTTAATGGAACGCAAGAACCAATGAGATAAATCCCCGGTGTTCTAGTTTTGTAGTTTTTGTTCAAGTGTATAACTGTAACAATTAAATTAAAGAGAATAAATAATAATCAAAATATATTTTTTTTACAATTCGCCGGTACTGTGTGTTTCGATTAAACAGTCAGACTGTGCGTTCCTGTGCATAACATTGAGTTTTGGATTTTTGGACATTTGGCATTTGGTATTATACATCAAATGGCATTATTTCGGGTACCCCGATTTTTCAAAAATACACCAGTGGCGGGGGTACGGGATTTCACCTGTCTATTTTGGCAGACATTGATGGTACCTCACTGATTCTCTCTAGAATGAAAATATGACAACACGCAGAGAATGATCATTATCATTATTGTTATTTCTTTCTTAATTAATTATATGTCTGTTTTATTAAAATATTGTAAACAATCTACTTACCAAAATAAATAAGAACTAAAAGTTTTTTTTGATTTTTTGATTCGGTACTCTCGCCACTGGTTTGTTTTTTTTTAAATGTGGCACACTAAATAATATTTTTTGATGCATAGTACATGTGTGCAAAATTTCATTAAAATATGTAACAGTCCCCGCTTCCCGCACTTCAATCTCCAGATCTTTCTATTGTGGCAATCTTCTTTCCCTTCTGTTCAAGATTTACGGGGTCTCCCTTTTTTCCTCCTATTTATCGGTGTATAATCTAGAGGTCTGAAACATCTTATTTTATGCCTGATCTCAAAAATTCCATATCTCCAGCTTTGAGTTGTTCTTTCGTTCTAGATGTTATTTGCCAATGATCCATATGTAATTATAAAAATAGCTTTTCAATGTTGATTGTTGTTATCTTTGTGATGTTTTTTCTTTTTACAAAACTTCTGGATTAATCCTGCGTCGGTTGTTGCTGCAGTTTCGGTCAAGCCCTGAAGAAACCAACAGGATCATTGGCGAAACGTCAGCAATTTCGACTCAGCAAAAACCGACGCAGGAGGAATCCAGAAGTTTTGTAAAAAGTACTGGAGTTCAGTTGTTGGAACGCCCTACGATCCCATTTAATTCTGTTGTTAATATCTTTTTCGGTGTTTTCATCTTCACTAATTAATCTTTCTAGGTACTTATAGTCTCTACAGCCTTTAATTATGCTATTTCCGAGAGTTGTTTTGAACTAGGCTAATAGATGTTCAGTTTATGATGTGTTTATTTTGAGTCCCCACTTCGAATATTCTTCCATCGGTCTAGTCGTTATCATTTGCCATAAGTATATGATCGTCTACAAACAGTAACACAAACACACAACACAAGACATAACATCCCTTCGATAGTATGAACAGTGATATTCAATTTCCTACCTTCATTATGTCAAGAGAGTTTTGGTATATGTTTCTTTATCTTGTGAATCGAACTAATACATGCAAATCCACAATCATTGGAAATATTGTCTCTAATTAATAGGAATTTGTTAAATAATTTTGCTATCAGTCCAACCAGCTCATTGGGAATACCTCCAGGCACTGCTGCCTTTCCATTTTTCATATCTTTTCAGGCATTTTGAACTTCTTCCACTGTTCATCTTCCAGGCTCAACTCTTCTGGTTGATTGCCCTTTCTTCTGTAAATAGATATTGATAAAATGTTTCCGGCTCATTGTAGTTATATTTGTCCTATATTTCTCTTCGTTTCTTATATTTTTCAAGATTTTCCATGCCTCTGATAGTCTGCTTTCTGCAAAATACCTATTCAACTTTACACCCTTCTTTTTCTCCCTTCTTCCCTTTTCACTATTTTATTTATTCTGTTATACAGTTTTCTGTCTTCATTGTCTCGTATTTTGTTTGTTTTAACCAAAAATCTCAATGTCGTTGAGTTCTTGTTCCCCAAAAGGATTCTTTTACTGCACTATGCATAGCTTGTTTCAATTGCCCATATATCCTCCCGCCTCCTGCATGTTTAATTTTGATTTTCGTCAAGTATTTATCATTTTATTTTCGTCCTTTTGTTGGGCTGGGGTCTGTGGCATGTATAATGTATTTTGTTAAAAAAAAACTCCACACTCACTCACGAAACTGGCGTCTAATCCATTTCACCGTAAATAAAACTTCCATAAAGCTTTCGCAAGGGACATAGCCAACTGCCGATAATAATAGAGTCCGCCTGATGACCGGTCTCTTTGAGCATACATTAAAAGCAAATGCGTTGCTTTACCGTATCATTAGGAGGCATACCTTTGGCGTTACGATAAATTGCAGGTTTTGGCGATTCTCCCTTGTATTTTTCTCTATCGAAATATCTGGAAAAAGCCATGCGTAACCAGTCCGCGGTTGTCTCTTCAAACATGAAGGTCGACTATTTCACGCACGTCAGGAGGCTGATGATGGTGATCGGGATCTGGAAAGTAGACACTGGGATGTCCATCTCCCAAAAGCGGTTTTACCGAGTCTACTCTTTGTCCTTCCAATTGTTCTGTCATTCGGTGGCGTTCTCGTCGCTTGCAGAGATTCCATCGCTGGTAAAATCCAACGTGGGCGCTGGTGAGGATGTCACCACCATACAAAACTAACTTCCCAGCAAAAACTTCCTTCTAGCGATGGACAACGCGAATAGGTTCGTCGTATATGTAGTCATCATCATCAAGATGATCGTCTGGCAGTCCAGAAGGATGGTCGACCTGCTAGGGGTAGTCTTGGAGCAAAACCAGCAGATGCGAAGTGCTACTTTGAATGACCAGGATATCCTCAGATTGTATCTGAGACATGTGAGGTACAACCACAAGTTCATGTTCCTCCTTGTCTTCTCTGGAACCATTATAGCTTTTGCCATAGCTGCTATAGGTAAGTTTCTGTGGTAGACCCACGGCACCACCACTTCCATTTCTTTGTTAATGCTGATAGTAGATAGTAGACGAGGATATACCCTTAGCATAAGAAACCCTAGCACTGCAATGGTTATACGTTTTCCTCTTATGCATCTTATATTTTAGGAGACACAAGCGTATATAAATTCGTTCAGTCGCCTGAGAATGCCAACGCTACCGAGAAACCGTTGCTCTACCGGTATTGGTACCCTTTGGACAGGAACGAGTACTACTTGGTCGCCTTGGCAGACCAACACGTCAGGCCGACGCTCAGTTGTTTTTGTCTAGGTGTCACGAGCGCTTCGCTCAACTCCCTGGCGATATTCGTCGGAATGCAGTTGAAAGTGTTGCAACACCACTTCCAGCACTTTCGTCAGCAGCAGGAGGAAGCATTCGACAGCTTGAAGTTGTTGTGCGCAAAACATCAACATCTGATAGAGTGAGTAGTACAATAGGCTCGTTATCCTGAGGTTTCCGGCAGGTTTTATTTTAGATATACCATAGAGTTCAGCGAATCGCTCAAGCACATAGTGCTGCTAGATTACAGCGTGTCATCGATCACATTCGCGATGCTGATCCTCCAGATCACCACCGTAAGTGATTCGTGCTGGATTTCGCCCGATTCTAGGTAATTTATTGATCCAGGGAGAAAAATTAGTGATTAGCGCCACCATATTGACGTTCACCACGCTTCAGCTGATGACGTTTTCGTGGAACTGCAACGAGATCATAGTGCAGGTTATTGCGAGCAGTCACGGTAGGATTTCGAAAATGGTAGGGTATTTGTAGAGCACTGAGCTGACTACAGCGCTTTTCAAAAGCGACTGGTACGATCAGGATAAACCTGCCAAAGTACTGATCCACATAATGATGATGCGGTGTCAGAAACCTCTGTGTTTGCGTATCGGCTGGTTGGGAGTGATGGATTTGGAAGCCGGAATATCGGTGAATATAAACGCCTCTGTCAATATGAAGTTAAAACTTTAAAGTTTTAGAGGTTGAAGTTGGGTTATTCCTACACCTCCATTATGAACAAATAATAGGTGCCTGAAAATTAACGAAGTAACGTGGAAGTTTCCGCCACAATATAAATTAAAGCACTATAATTTTAGTTTCTTCTCTAATTTTGACTAAGTATAAACGAATTAGTAATAAAACAAGATCACTTAATGGGTACATCATTGTCCAACAAGCAATCTTTCTTTTTGAAATGTATGTTTATTCGACACGGTTTTTTAAGCCGCCCTGTATATTTTAAAATAACTTCAAATTGGGCATCTACGCAACTTTTGTATTTAGCATTTTCTCAGAACTTTTTTTGCACAGTTCCACAGCAGTAAGTAAAGAGTTAAATTTAATACCATCGATCTCAAATGGGCACCATACTTTTTTATTAAAAATAAAAGAAAGCGGGGTTAATAATTCAAAAATTTTGTACTGTAAAACAGTTTCATAGCAGTATTTATATAAAAATTTGGTAAAAAAAAAATGCTTGGTTCGTTGTGAGAAATGGGTCAATTTTAATGCTGCAATACGCTTGCATAACATTTGTTTACAATTTAAGCCAGTTCGCATGTTTACTTTTTTTTTGTGAGACGGCAGCGTTAGACTTTTGTGTGCTCGGTGAGCTGTCAAAAAAACGGAACAAAGATTTTGCGTAAAATTTTGTGCAAAAAAATGATTTTGAACAAAAGGACTGTGGGAGGAATATCGCTCAAGAGCTGTTAAACGTCCATCAATCATGAACTTGCCACCATATTCACCGGATATGAACGCCTTCGAATTTTAATTTCATTCATTCATGCTAACCTCGCTTTTGTCGTCTACATTATTACAAATTCACTACTTAAGGAACTTATCCGCCCTTAATTTTCACTGCGAATAAAATACCCGATTGCAAAGCGGTATCTGCAATCAATAATTATAGATCTTCTGATTACAGGCCCCTTTGTTCGCGGTTTTCAAACACGTGTGTGGTTTCCTTTCGCCTTATCATTACGGAAAAACATTTTCCGATCACCCATACGATAGGGTTGACAAGACACTCAGGAGCGTAGCGAATTTTTTTCCGTCTAAGACCATTGCTATTACATTAGTTGGCAGTGAGAAAATGACAACTGAGTAAAAAAAATCATTAAATTGTTGTGGTGTGAGTAAAAACAAAGTATGGATTTTCCTAAAGCTTAATTAATTGTTGTGGTGAAGCGGAAAAAATACTTTATTGGCAGTAAGACTTTACAAGGCGAAGTACCCTTAGGTATACGAACTAATAATAGAAAGGTTTGATGCTAGTGATGGTCTAGCAGGTCAGTAGCCGTCAAGTAGATTGCTTATGTGATACATCCCAATATGGAACAACACCAACAACTTCTTGAACATTCTTCTTCTTCTTCATTTTTCGTCTAAAATAATGTTTTCCGATGAAGCAACTTTTCGCAGTAATGGCGGAGTTAATGGTTATAAGATGCATTACTATTCAACAGTTAATCCATTCTGGAACGGAAATTGAAAAACTAACACCATTAAGTATATAACCAAAGGGGGTTCCACAACACATTACCTCAAAAAGTCCTTTCATTTAATTTAAGCTTTTTGCAGACTGATTTACCACAACTTCTTTAAGAGCTTGATAACATTTAGATCCAGGAAATGTGGTTTCAGTACGACGGAGCTCCTACGCATACCCATTTTTCGACAAATTTTAATAATTATAACCCACAGAAATGGATGAGTAGAGGTGGATTCGTTAGATGGCCGCGTCGATCCCGTGACTTAGCACCGCTAGATTTCTTTTTGCGGGAATATGTTAAAGATCGTGTTTATGTGAATCCGCCTACAATACCAGAAGCGATGGGAAATGGGATTTATGCATGGGGACGTCCAAAAATATATACAAAAAGGGTTAAACATATGTATTCACGTATAAAAAATGGTACCAAAAAAGTTCTTTCCCCTGTTCATTTTTTAATCTTAACAGAGCCCTGTTGCTGAAGACAGAAAGAAGTTTAAATATTGGAAATGTTAAAAAACCTTTCGGAAAATATAATTATTATTACGGTGTGAGATTTTTCCATTTAAAACATTACCACCCCAAATTTTATCAATGTACGCCTATGGTCGTACTTACCTATTGACAATAACAGTAGTATAAAATAGTAAAAAATTACTTTTATTCTATACATACTCTTAGCCAGCGTGTGACGCCGCTGACCATCAACCCCTATAATTTTGTACGTAATATATAAAAGCGGCGAGTTCCGCATCCCCTCAATCATGAAGGTCGACTATTTCACGCACGTCAGGAGGCTGATGACGGTCATCGGCATCTGGAAAGTGGAAAATCCACGCCACTCGATGTTGCGAAAACGGATCTACCAAGTCTACTCGGTGTCGTTCCAAATGTTCTGCTATTCCGTGGCTTTGTCGTTACTTGCCGAAATACCAGCGTTGGCAAGGTCTGACGTCATGGGCGGTGAGTGTCCACAATGGGGTTTGAGCTCGCGACATGCGTTTCGTTGCAGCGGTGGACAACGCGAACAGATTCACCGTGTACATAGTCATCATCATCAAGATGATCGCGTGGCAATCTACAAGGATGGTCGATCTGCTTGGAGTCATGTTGGAACAAAACTTGCAAATAAAAGCTGCGTCACGCGCTGACCTCGCGATCCGCAGGTTGTATCGAAACCACGTGAGGTACAATCACAAATTTGTGTTCGTCCTTGTCTCCTCCGGGGTTGTTATATCGCTTAGCATTTCTACGGCAGGTAAGACAAGCTCGTACACAAGGCATCTGCGTTCTTCCAACTCAACTTCTACCTCCAAAATTAGTTGCAACATGACATGACTTTAAACATGACAAGCCGCTTTTCTTCCTTTCTTTCTGTCTGAACTCTCCTTAATCTTTCCTCATTGGTATAAAAATTGTTACTTTTCTCCCTTCATTTCACGAAGTTGTTGGCATTCGTCATCAACAGTAGCCTTGCTCTTTTCACATGTAAACCTTTTGCTTAACTAGACCCTTGTCGCAGACATAAATCCATTTAATGGGAAACCATTAATCAAGCACTGGGAACTAGAATTTTGACATATCATGCAATGATTGTATAAGGTTCACAACAGAAGGTTAAAGACAATTATGTAAGTGTGAAAAAGTTTCTAATTTCTTAATAAATCTTCTCAAATCTACATAAAATTCTGTTCCAGACTCAGTTCTTCTTTGAGGGCATCTCAATGGGCCGAGAAATGATCTAAAGCAAAAATTTAATAATCTTCATTGGAAATACTTCACAGCTTCCTTGAAGTTGCTCCTTTTCCAATGGCGTTCCTTCTGAAGAACCCTTGCTTCCGACCATTTGATGTTATGTTGTTTGGTCCATACATGTTTCCCGATTTCTGATCTGGATTTTACCTCTCCTTTTCTCTACTTACTTACTACTTTACTCTCCTTCAATAGTCCTAGTGCTACTGAATATCCGTGATGATTGGCCACTGGGAGGATCTTGATACCCATTTGTTCCTCGTCTTTCCATCACACTTCTATCCCCTCATCGGTACTATGCAGCTTATAATATCTAACATTAGAGTCTATCGAGGCGCAAAGACGAAGTCCCTTGCCCAGTATTTGTTGTTCAGTATCGGAAAGCCGTTGTTTTTTAGATTTGAGCAGTTTGCTTCCTCTCATCGTTCCTTTTGATTGACCTTTCAAGTCAGTAGTTTTATTTCCTCAAACCTCTGTTGTGGCATTTTTTATTAACCGATCCAGTACCAAATAAGAGTGAGAGTAATAGTGTGTTTTAGGATTCGTGGGCGTGTATCGGTTCATCCATTCTCCGGAAAATAAAAACAGTACCGAAAAACCGCTGCCCCTCAAGTTCTGGTACCCTTTCGACAGTAAGCAGCACTTCCTGCTAGCCTTGGCGGACCAAAACATTAGGCCGACTTTCAGCTGTTTTTGCCTCGGTGTGACTAGTGCGTCACTCAACTCCCTGGCGATATTCGTTAGGGTCCAGTTAAAAGTGTTGCAGCACCATTTCAAGCACTTTCGCGGTGGGCTGGAAGCGGCCATCGACAGTTTGAGGCTGCTGTGCATCGAACACCAACGTTTGATAGCGTGAGGCGCTTATTTTTCTGTTCGACTCCCGGCGACTTTCACCAGATTCTTTGTAGATATACGATAGAGTTCAGTGAATCGCTCAGGTACATAGTGATGCTGGATTATACGGTTTGCTCTGTCACATTCGCGCTTTTGATTTTTCAAATAGCAACGGTAAGTACCACCCTATTAGGTTCGCAGCTAGGCAATAATCCGTTTTCCAGGGAGAGGAGCTGTTAATCAACTTCACCATATTAACGTTCACCATCTTCCAGCTGATGACGTTTTCGTGGAACTGCAACGAGATTATAGTGCAGGTACGTCTAAGCCATCAACGAGTAAAAGAGAATAGAAATTCTGTCCATACTTCAAATGGTACCAATTCCTTGCGATCTATTGTACGGGATCTCCCATTGTGGTGACTTGTGCAGGGCATCTCTATTATTTTTATAGATAGAAGAGAGAATTGTGGTTTTTGTGAAACTAAAGAGCTAAATTGAAAATATTGACTATTTTCTTAAAAACTGATACGGCTCAAAAATTACACAAGTGACGGGGATTGCTGTGAAGTTGACAATATTAATTTTGATAAATAAATAAATAATATTTGATAAAACTCGTCACTCGTCAAAAAGCCACTGTACTTTTTTAACGCACCTCGTATATTTTGAACTTTTTTCTTTTGCGTCCGGCTTACCTTAGGCTTCACAAATACGTAAATAAAGTGTTGAACGTGAATACTTGGTTAAAAGTTGAGTTAGAGCTAAATCACAGGGTATGGTCTGTTCATAGATATAAGGAAGCGACCAATTGCTTTTGAATGGGATTATCCAAGCATTACCTAAAGTTTCGGAATTTAAATTCAGGAAAATTGTATGGGTTTAATATTCTTAGGTTTGGTATACTACATAGTTTAAGTCTATTAGTAATCATTCTTATTTCGTGTGTAATACAGCGTGTGTTGAATCGTGTGCGAATTATGCAAAATATGTGCGAGTCTAGTGTATCTCAGATGCTCCCGCCCAAATGTAGAAAACACTATTCTATTGAGACTAAGAAAGTTATAAACAATGTTTATTTGACTCTCATTGAACGTGGTGCCAGCAAGCAAGCATTATGTTTGGCACCAACTGAAATCTGCCATTCGTCGTAAGAATATTTTTCCCCGTGTTAGGCAAAAGTTGGGCAAATTCTGTTAAACATATATAAAAAGTAGAACAATCGTATATCCATATTTTATTTTTTATTTTTTATTTTATTTATTTATTACAAAGGTGCCCTAACATGAAGAACTAACTTCACAATTTACAAGGACACACTAACAATTATACCATTATTTAATTAACAAAGTAAAACTTATAAGTAAGTACCTACCTATATCTACGATAAGCAGAAGATAAAAATAATAATAATAATAATAATAATAATAATAATAATAATAATAATAATAATAACAATCAAACTTACCAAACTAAACCAAAACTAACAGTGTATATTAAGTGCTTGAATTACAAAAAACAAATGTGAAAAAATAAGGAAAACAAATCAAAAATTAAAATAAATTAAAAATTAAAATAAATTTATAGAAAAACCCTAATTGCTTGATTTCGAAACGAATTAAGTGATAACGCAAAGATGTCAATGTGCGAAAAATAATTATTGTAATGTCTATGTAAAAGAGATATTGGGGAATTGTTACCTAAGTTTGTATTAAATCTAGGCACGTAAAATAATGAAGGAGTTCTTGTTATAACGACTTTGGCATTGAAGGATAGTTTTTCCAACAGTAAAGGACAGTCAATCCTATTAATAATATTATGCAAAAATATAGCACTGGAGATAACAGATAACTTCAGTATATGGTAGAAATTAAGACTAGCTTCATACGAATGAGTTAGTAAGTTACGGTTAAATCTAAAATTTAAATGGAAAACAAACTTTTTTTGTATTCTCTCGATTCTGTCTACCATATCACACCGCCATAGTCAAGGTGAGATCGAACGTAGGAATTGTATAGAATAATAAGCGATTTGTGATCCTGAAATTCCTTGCTAACTCTTAATATAAAACCTAAATTTTTATAAGCTTTTTTTACTATATTCTCAATGTGGATATCAAAACTTAATTTTACATCTATAGTTATTCCAAGATCCCTAATCTGCTCTACTTTTTTTATTTTTACACCATTGAATGTGTAGTCAAAGTTTATATCATTTATCCGCCTGCTGAACTTAAGACAGTAACATTTATCAATATTTAAAAATAGACGATTTTTCACACAGTATTCATAAAAACGATCAAGATCTTCTTGAAACTTATGACAGTCGTTAAGGCTTTTCACGGGCGCCTATGATTTCTGATCATCTGCGTATGATGCTGATTTAGCAAAAAGAAAACATTTACTGACATCTGCGATAAACAGTGAAAATAACAATGGTCCCAAATGGGACCCTTGAGGAATTCCAGATGTGATGCGGGCCGTTTGGGATTTTGCAGAATTCAATTCTACAAACTGAGTCCGAGGACTGATGTAGGATTGAAGAATTTTATAAAGACAACCATATATTGCAAATACTATAGAATAAATAATAATTAGAACAGGCGATGTTAGCGATAGTGATACTGATATATTATGTGAATAATTTTAAGTAATTTAAGTAGCTAATAAAAATAATTTGTAATTTTGTTTTAGATTTAAACATACATATATAAATAAATATTGTTTAGTATCTTTCCTATCAAAACCTCAAATAATTAAATTCTAAGCAAAGTACGGACCTGTTCGGCCATATTCCATTCCTACAGCTTGCCCGGGTCTTTGCTTAATTCGTATCAGTTAGTCCCTTTCTTATATCTATGAACAGACTTTACACAGATATCCAAGGTGCGATTTAAAATATTGTGATTTTGTGGTCAAACTTTCAAAAATGGTTTTTCCAGAGCACAGGGCTGGCGGACTCGCTTTTCGAAAGTGACTGGTACAATCAGGGTCAGCACGCGAAAGTACTGATCCACGTAATGATGATGCGGTGTCAGAAGCCTCTGAGTCTGCGTATAGGATGGCTGGGAGTGATGGATTTAGATGCGGGGCTCTCGGTGAGTGTGAACGATTCCATAAAGACTGGATTAAAATTTCAAAAAATTTCAGAGGCTGAAATTAGGTTATTCTTACACCTCGATTATGAGAAACTGATGAGCTTTTCGAAACTTTATGCATGAAATATAATGGAATTCAAAAAACAACGAGATAAATTCCTGGTGTTCTAGTTTTGTAGTTTTTGTTCTATCCAAAACCGTTTTTCTCAAAAAAATCGCTGTTTAAGTGTATAATCGTGGCGATTAAGTTTTTAAAAAATAATAGTAATTAGGGATAATATTGTTGCCATTCACGAAGTTACATTTACACTTTTAAGAATCATATTACGTGAATTCGATTTTGTTTATATTTTCATTAGAGGTTAAACCAATAAGTTTATAAAAACAAACTGTTTGCGCCGATGTGCGTGCACAAATTCGGAAGAAATTAGCTGGCATCGTGTCTATAGCGCTTAAAGAACCGAAACGCCAAATTGCTTGCAGAATTCTACTAAGAACGCCGATCCGTATGCTGTAATTCGACACAATATTAACCCTGCACGTGTCGCTAATTTTTTTAACAACGCTTTCCACACCTTAATTCCTTGTATTGTATACAGGGGGTGTCGATTATGGGCAGAAAGTCTAAAACTTCCCTAAAATTTCCGTTACTGTGGGAAAATTATTGACAACAAATGAAAAAATATTAATGATGGGATAATTAAGAATGCCGCAAAGTATTTTTAACAAATAATTTTTTTTTTTTTGCTTATTTCAGTGTTCAGAAAAAAAATGTTTTCTCTAAAACTGTTAACCCCATCAGCAAAATTCTTTAACCAGCTTACGCGGAAGATCCAGTGCTATAACACTTATTTCGGGCATATTTTTAGATTATATACAGGGTTTTTTAATTACGGACAAAAATATAAAAGACTCTAAAAATTGTCCTTTTCCAAAAATTATTAGTCTTAAATCAAAATTCTAAAAAAAGGACAAACAGTATTGCCACATGGAGAGCTGCAATTTGTGTATTTACGGTTTTCGTCTATCACGTACGCTGCTTGAGATATTTGAAAAAATCGAAATGAAAATCGCTATATCTCGCACCCAATCTAGACGCGATGACGTCATCTGCTATGGCGGCGTACTGCATTGTTCCAGAAAAGAATTATTTTCTCGAAAACCATTGACTCTATTGGAAAAATTCATGGAGTGGGAAACGTGGGAGATCCATTACCATAACATCTACTTTTCGCAGTTTTTCAGTTATATACAGGGTGTGTCAGTAATGGGCAAAAAGATATAAAAGAACATGAAAATTGCCGTTTTGTAGGTAACTTAACAGCCGAAAAAGAAAAAATATCATTCATTTGATCATTTGGTCTAAACACTAATGTCAATTGCGTCGAAAGGTAGTTTCAGGTTTCGTCTATCATACAGGGTGCGCGAGATAGCGGCTTCTTTTTAAAATAAAACTCTGATTCGCGTTACACATTAGACACTTTTTCAAAACGCACAGTACAAACCATTATTTGACACTGAAACAAATGGTCAACACTGAAGAAATATATCATTCACGATTCTGCCAGAAGTAGACAGCATAGAATACCCTAAAAATCGTCAACGTTTTTTATGGCCCAATTCTAATTTTAACTTTTCATTGAGGTATTCCTCTGCCAACGAGGCCCACCTTCAGTTAGATAAAACATGAAACATCCACCAACTCCACAATCGTCAGAGGGGATGTGAAAACGGGACAAACAGAGGAAGAAAGGGAGACAGACGCGTTTTTTTTTAATATTAATATTTTAACTCCCAACAATCGAAGAAGCATCCCTTTGATTACAGGCTACGCTGAAAATAACCAGTCTCCCCCTGTCATTAAGGGATTGCGTTTATCGAATCGCGTCTGCCAGTGGCGTAGAGCAAAACTATTTGCAAATCTTCTAGGATATTTTTTCTTTTGGTAAAAGAGTTGATTACACTCAAAAATTTTAGTTTTATTGAACGAGATTTGTTCTCAGTCTAAATGATATTTTTCGCCCTGTCTCTCCGAGAGTATCGGGAATAAGAAGTTCAGTGGAATACCAGAAACTATCAATTATTATGGCGGAATAAGGTTTCGTCACGAAAAATAGGAATATTATATAAAACAAACACATAAAATATATGTAATAATAAATATAAAACCCGACTAACAGGGAGATAAAGTGTCTCGTAGAATAGTATATAAGAGGTTAGCGCCAAAATTTCCCGGCCTGACATAGATGCAGCTCCAGTATCACGATAAAACTTTGTCTTCTTTTAAATACATATCTTAGTAGGCTGCGAAAAAAAAAATGAAGTCTTGCGTCAAATTGTTTTTTATTGACAACATAACGCAAATTGAGCATAGAGCAGTCATAAAGTTTTTGACAAAAGAAGGGTTAGCACCTAAAATTATTAAAGAAAGGCTGGATGGTGTGTACGGCCAAAGTTTTCCTTCGTATTCTGTAGTGACAGAATGGGCAAAACGTTTTTGAATATGGCAGGAATCACTTGAAGATGATTCAAGAACTGGTCGACCAGTGGAGGTCATAACGGAAGCTTTTGTTGGGATTGTGGAAGAGGTGGTATTGAGTGATCGACGGTTAAAGGTCAAGGAAATCTCAGGAATTACTAAGCTTTCTGATACAAGTGTTCATCGAATCCTGCATGATCATTTAGGTAATATTAGTGCAAAAACCTTTTGGCTATTCCAAAACAATGCCGTGTCGAGTGGTCATTTTTGGAACTCTGTAGGTCGGAAGCGAAGCCTGTGATAGAAACTATTGTGACAGGAGATGAAACTATGGTTCTCTATTATGACCCTCTATCGAAAAAAGAATCAATGAAGTGGCGCCGTAAGGGTGAAGCACCTCCAAGAAAATTCAGAGTCTGCCATTCAACAAAGAAGACGAAGGCCACGATCTTTTGGGAATGTGAAGGCATACTTTTGATAGATTTTAAAAAAACTAATACCACTGTCACTGGTAAATATTACGCAACATTATTACATAAATTACATAACCAAAACTGACCAGAGGCGTGCGTCTTTTGCACGATATGCACCTGTCCATACTGCCGGTGATGCACACGCTGCCATTTTAGAGTGTGGGTTCCAACAGATAGATCATCCGGTTCAACTACGAAGTTGAGTTAAAAGAGGCTGTTTTAGCTCATTTTGCAGACAAAGAATATTTTTTTAAAGGGATTGAGTTGTTGATAAAGAGATGCAATTAGTGTATTGCAGTTAAGGGGAATCATATTGAAAAATAATAAAAAAATGTTACTCTACTTTGTTTCTTTCATATTCAGGCCGGGAAATTTTAGCACAAATGGTAATACACTACCCAACTTCTTGAAGATAAACTGCAAAGTACAAACACGATGTTAACAAATGTCACGCCTATTACCAGTATTCGGAAAATACTCAAACAATTTTGTTTACACCTAATTTATGAAGTTATTAATATAAGGTAATGTTTAAAGAACAACATATAACTGAAAGGTGATCAAAATAGTGTAGAATATTTTTATGAGCCATACTAGGTGTTACTCTACTTTGTTTCTTTCATATTCGCGCTGCCCTCGTATTTTTTTATTTTTTTCTATTCCGATGGTCTACCAAAAACATTTTTAATTTCATATTTTTTTTAACTGGAAGGTAAATTTGTTCCTTGTCGAGTAGGAATGAATTTCAGGTACTGTTTGAAAGAAAAATATATACAAATGGTGATGGTGAGTAGTATACATTCAAGTGAAGAATATTTCAATTTTTTCGAGACATTCGCTAAAAAAAATCCCGACGCCACTGGACGTGTGGATATTTTATAAGAAAGCGCGGAGACATGCGAAGCCCATATAGTCCGCCATGGTGGCCAAAAACTATTTCACGCACCTGAGGCGGCTCATGATGACGATAGGGATCTGGAAAGTCTACGAGCCGGGAGTTTCAAAACTAAGACGAAACATCTACAGGGTCTACGCGATATCCTTCCAGTTGGTATGTTACTCGGCGATGGTGTCTTTGGTGGGAGAAATGCCATCGTTGGTAAAAACTGATCCGGTAGCTGGTGAGTATCATACCACGTGGTCTTTTCTACATCTTCCGGGGTTTTTTTTACCCAGTTGAGTTCTTAACTTGCATTTTATCATTTTCCACTTTTCCTGGGACATCTTATTATATTTTTGGGTAAAAAAAATTAATTTTGTGATAAATATCACCTTATTAGAAGTATATGCGAGCTACTGGTTTCGAAATTGTGTGGTTTGAAGCGATTGATGCAAAAATGAAGCAATTCTAATAAGAAAAAAAGATTTATCATTTATAATACAATATTTATACAATATAATATCCAAATACAATAAGATATTTATGATACATCATCTACAAAAATATAGTACACCCTTTCTTTCTTTTTTTCATGTTTTTTGCCTTCTCTACGATAAAATGCATTTTCCAATCTGAAATATAGGTTACATTGTTGCTTGTCTTGCGATATCACCCTGGCAAATAAATCCGCTCAAATTCCACGCTTGCAGCGATGGACAGCGCAAACAGATTCATCGTGTACATCGTCATCATCATCAAGATGTTCATCTGGCAGTCAGAGAGGATGGTGAAGCTGCTGGATGCCGCACTAGAGCAAAACTCCGCTATACGGAAGTCTTCTGAGAGCGATCCGGTAGTCAGTAGGATATACGAGAGCCATATCCGATTAAACAATACAGTGATGTCGCTGCTTGTCACTTCCGGAACTTCCGTGGCAGTCACTATCTTCGCCGTCGGTATGTCGAATTTAAAATCCAGTTCGCACTTGGCTTGAGTTGCAAATAAATAGATACAACACATTTAAGATGGACACCTGATTTGAGGCTGTGCTGTGTATTCTGGTTACATGTGATGCAAATTTCAGTATGATCGGCAAGGTATGACCCTATCGAAACAATAAAAAACCATTTACATGAGGCCCAAACGATATCATATATTTATGAAAGGCCTTGACAAAATAAGCCCTCGACATCTTTTATGTGCGCCATTATAATTATAGATAGCTTCAAAGGAAATATACTGATTACATATGATGCAAATTTCACTGAGATCCCCAAAGTACGACCCTCTTAAAACAATTAAAAACAATAGATCCAAACGATGTCATAAATTTATAGAAGCCCTTGAGAAGATAAGGCCTCGACATCTTCCATGTAAAACTGCATCCAAGTTTAAAACACCTCACATCTGGTCTTCTCTCCAATCATTTCCACATTAGAGATATTAAGATATCCATCTTAAAATTCACTTCAACACAACCTTCCTAAGACAACCACCTGTTATCCTTCACTCCATTCAAAACATCACCGACCATATCAAAAGTTCTTAAAAAATATAACGTTAACACCAGATTTACCACCTGTCTAAGAATCTCTCAGCATCTTCAATCAGTCAAAGACAAATTTCCGTTTGAGATAGCAGGAGTTTACAGCATTCCAGACCTATGCGACATTGGAGAGATAGGAAGAAAAATATTAACTATGGTCCAAGAAAATGAAAGAGCCTGGTAATCTTGCATGTAATCAATTCTTCCACCTAGGAAAAATCCAAAAATCCATAAAAATGGGGAACCAAACAATCTTAACCGCGACTCAAGTCTTCATTACATCAATATGCAACTCAGTAATCGCGCGCCCCTCAAACAAAATATAAGCAGGGATAACGTCTGAAGAAGCCAACAGGATGATTGACGAAACGTCAGCAAGTTTGACTTATAATAAATCGACGCAAGAAGAATGAGGAGGTTGCTTCATATCCCTAGTTTGTTTAAAGATGGAAGATAGTAAATCAGTAAACAGGTTTGTTAGCTTTGACGTGGAAACCTTATACACCAACGTACCAGATTGATAGAGAGAACTTCGCTATTTTTTGCTTTCAAGCCAGAGATAAGTTTTGCGCACGAGATGAAGGCTTGCCTTTGGGTTGGCCCCTGTCTCCGTTTGTAGCGAATATACGAGGTGTGTTCAAAAAGTAAAAGTGTTGATCCTGATTTGCTCATATGACTATGATGTCGAAACCAAGGCTGCAATGGAAGACCGACAAAACCACGTCAAGTTCGATCAAACGTAAAGGTTTTGCTTACTGTTTTCTTTGATTATCGTTGCGTAGTGTTCAAGAGTTCTTACCACAAGGTCGAACGGTTAATAAAGAGTATCACCTTGAAGTTCACCGCTCAGCCATCGTTGTTTGTTTCTAATTTTTGGCCGAAAACAAACCCAGGATCATGCCTCAGCCACCATATTCACCGGATATGGCCCCCTGCGAATTTTTACCGTTTCCAAAACTCAAGAAACCGATGAAAGGAAGCGGGTTTGGCTCCATTAAAGAGAAAAAGAGAAAGTCGCTGGAAAAACTCAAGGCTATACCAGAAAGCGCTCATCAGAAGTGTTTCTCGGATTGTAACAAACGTTGGCACAAGTATATAATATCTGCGGGGGATTTTTTGATAAATAAATAAATATTTTTTTGATAAAACTTAAATAAATAAATAAAAAACTACTTGACGCAAGACTTCATTTTTTTTCGCAGCCTACTAAGATGACAAAGTTTTATTGTGATACCTATGTCCGGCCGGGAAATTTTGGCGCTAACTTCGTATATGTGAATAACTGATCATTTATCTCCCCACTTTCCCCTGCCTGAATAATTTTTGACCTCGTAGGCGACGTAAACCTGTACCGATTCGTCCAATCGTCAAACGGCACCGACGTTACCATCAAACCTTTGCCCCACAAGTACTGGTACCCTTTCGACAAAGATCGGCACTATCTGATCGCCCTGGTAGACCAACACGTCCGACCTACCCTGAGTTGCTTCTGCATCGGCGTTATCAGCGCCTCGATCAATTCGCTAACGATTTTCGTAAAGGTGCAGCTCAGAGTGTTGCAGCACCAGTTTCGCGGTCGATGGGAGCGCGGAGCTTTGCGCAGCTTGAAGCTGCTCTGCTCGAGACACCAGCGCCTGATCCGACACGTATCAGATTTCAACCAATCGCTCAAATACGTGATACTGCTGGAATACACGGTGTCTTCGCTGACCTTTGCTCTGCTGATACTCCAAATCACGGCGGTAGGTGACAGTGTCGAAGCTTAGTTGTGAAGCTATAAACACGGGTTTCTAGGGTGAGCAGCTCACCATTAATTTCACGATATTGGTGTTGACCACTCTGCAACTGCTCACGTTTTCCTGGAACTCGAACGAGATCATCCTGCAGGTAAATACCTACTTAATTTATAACAAAGACCAGTGGTAGATAAAACCAGTTGGCTTTTGAATGATGAGTCCTCAATATTTTCAGAGCATGGAACTAGCCAGCGCACTCTTTAGAAGCAACTGGTATACTCAGGATCGGCCCGTGAAAGTGCTGATCCACATAATGATGATGCGGTGTCAGAAACCTCTGAGTCTGCGTATAGCGTGGCTGGGAGTGATGGATTTGAATGCGGGAATGTCGGTGAGTGTGAATCGGTGTCTGTGCTTTGATAACTCATTTGTTTCAGAGGCTGAAGCTGGGATATTCCTACACGTCCGTAGTAAAGAATTGATGTACGTTTTGAGCTACAATTATTTCCAATTTTGTGTACATATTAGGCGCTTGCCAATTGTAGATTTCGTATAATAAATTAAGTTTCTTTGCTTTGTTTTTTGCCAATTCTAGTCGCGCCATCGGCAGCTGATATTGGGTAATCGAAAAATAAACGACCTATGTATGGCGCAGTCGGTAGGATATATTTACTAATTGCTAGCGTACAATATTTGCATTTTATGTTCAGGTTAGAGGAGAACAAAGAAGCAAGGACTCGGTTAGACAAAGCCGTTCATTAGGTGGCGTTAACAGTGTCGTTTATATGTCAAGCGTAAACTCGTTATCTCCAATAAACGGACTGATCTCCACGTTGCATTGCCCGCGTTACGTGCAGCTCGCCGATACGTATTCGAATAGGCTATCAATCCATTCGCAGTATCTTTTGATGGCATCGCAATTGAAATTGAAATGAACATTTTAAGGTGGCGGATTTTTGCTTAAAATCCGTTTGACTATTACTTCAAAATGCTCTGAATCTCTCTGAAATAAAAAATGTCTAGAGTCTTTGCCGCGCTCTGTAGTGAAAATTATACAATAAAATGACAGGTAGCTTGACCCCCTTAACTTCAATACACTTATTACATATCATTATAAACAACCCAATCCCTTTAAAAAAATTATTTTTTGGTTTGTCTGCAAATTGAGCTAAAACAGCCCCTTTTAACTCAACTTCGTGGTCAAACCGCCGTCCACGTAAGTCCTTTTTCAAATATCCAAACAAATAATAGTCTCTGGGGGCATATCTGGACTATAGGGAGGATAATCTTTCTGTTGGAACCCACACTGTAAAATGGCAGCTTGTTCAACATCAGCAGGATGGAAAGGTGCATTATCGTGCAAAAGACGTACGTCTCTGGCCAATTGATGTAATAATGTGCGTAATATTTACCATTCACAGTGATATTAGTTTCTTTAAAGTATATCAAAAGAATTCCTTCAAAATCCCAATTCCCATGGCCATTAAATTTTTTGTTGACTGGCAGACTCTGAATTTTGTTGGAGGTGCTTCGCCCTTACGACGCCACCTTTTTTTGTTAAAAACTTTATGACTGCTCTATACTCAATTTGTGTTATGTGCGACATTTTTTCGGACACATCTTGTTTAAAATGCTGTCAATAAAAAACTATTTCACGCAAGAACTTAATTTTTTTTTCGCAGCCTACTAAGATATATTTAAAAGAAGACAAAGTTGGATCGTGATACTGGAGCTGCATCAATGTTAATTTTTTAATACATCTTTTTTTTTCATTGCTGAAAATACGATTATGTTGAATTACTATTTCATTATATATTTATGGTATACCAAATAATAGCTTTTTTATATATTGAATTTTTCTTATACAGAGGGTGTACAATATTTATTTTTTATTTCAGAAAAAAATGTTAAAAACAAAAGTTATAGATAACACCAAAAGAAGCAATTCAAAATTATTTACAAATATACAGAGTGATTCATAAATTCAGGGTGTTCTCTAATTCGGTGTTCATAATTTTTGGGGTCCATTTTAAAAAGAAAACTTCATATGGACATGTCCTAAAAACTTTTGAGCTAGGGTGTGGTGAAATTTTCATAAATAAAATATATTTTTTGATATCTGTAATACCCCTTACGTATTTAAATTAAATTTTGAACACATGTGCTATGTATCAAAAGGCATTATACTGTATTTCAAAAGTTGAGACGTTTGGGACATATATTCATATAAAGCTTTTTTTTTAATGGACCCTAGTAATTACCATTCAGTTAGAAAGCAGTCATTGAGGAAATCCCGAGTTTTCAATTTAAAATGACACAATTACATTCGCGTATTCTGAACACCCTGTAGCATCGAAGTCAAATTCCGTTGCACATCTTTTATGTTATCTTCGAATAACATATAAAAAATAATAAAAAAAATAAAGAAGAAACAGTAATCACATTGTAATTTCAAACTACCACAGAAATTTAGAGGTTATGATTTTAATTTTTGAAGCGTTATCTTGTGATTGTGTCACGTGTCAAACATAAGTATGTTTCATAGAAAGACACAGACCACTGTCGGTGTTAAAAAACATATAATAAATGAGGTTAACACTCACGCGTGTGTTATATTATTCTTTAAACCAATAACCAAGAAGTTATAACACGCGAAGCGTGCTTAAATTGGTTGAGACGCGTACCATAGCGAACCTAACCTAAAAAACTAATTTCAGGCGCGTTCGCCACGCGTTAAGGTTATGTTTGAGCGTAGAGCGGGTCAGTTTCGCGGCCTACTTCGATGCGACGGCTTTAAACAGTGACGTACCTGCAACGAAGTCGGATCAGCAACCACAGACCTCTGATAGACGCGAATGGCGGCCAGCGGGGGGCAGAAACGACGCGATTTTCACCTCTCCGAACCCGAAAATGTCGAACGGCTTGCGACGACGGACTAGGGGTCCTCACTGCTAACCGGGATTCCGTATCCAGCATCCAGGCAGAAGGATTCTGCGCAGCGGCGCACGCCGGGGGTGGTGTGGGGAATAAAACCCACCGATGCCGAAAAATTATAATATAAAATTCGGTTTATGGGCGGATGGGGGGTTGGGGGGAGCACGGTGCGCTGGAGCTCGAAGCTAGGTCCGGTATACGGGGTGTTTCACCTTGGACGTTTACCGGCAAATTTTTAAAATACCTGGTAAGCCGCCACGTTGCCGATTCTTCGAAAAAGTAGCTTCAACATTGAAATTTCCTATACTTATAATTATGAAATTTAGGTAGTATCTTAGGGAGGTACTGTATATTATAGAAATTAATTCCATATCATACAGAGCATGTCAAAACTAATAATTTTCCTACTAGATAGCTACTACCAATACTAGCTGTTTTCAAATATTTAGTATCGATACTTTCCGTTAAAAATTAACTTTAAACACTAATATTTTTGGGTCTAAGTCCTACCTGTTAAATTTCAGTTTCTCTTAGAATAAAAACAAGAAGAAAAATGTTTTTTGAATTAAAGTTTGATTTTCTATAAACTAGAGCTATTTTATATATTTTCTGCAAAAATCACTAAATTTTAAGATGAATATGAATGAAACAAAGTGGAGTAACAATTTTTTTTTATTTTTCAATATAACCCCCTTAACTTCATTACATCTCTTTATTAACAACTCAATCCCTTTAAAAAAATATTCTTTTACTGACCACGCCGTTGCAAATCCATCAAATCTTGGTGAAAACATTCTCCTTGTTCCTCAGAGTAGTCACCGATTTTATCTTTGAATTCGTCTAATGAGAATGTAACATGTGAAGTTAATGAGACATTCTGTAGCCCATAGTTGTTTTCAATCAATTGTCATCTCTGTGATTTCGGAGGAAGCCATCAACTACTGCTTTAAAACTCTTCCAGGCTCGTTTTTCGCAAGCAATAAGAACCTTGGCGAAGTAATCATTTTTCATTATTTTTTATTTGTGGTCCAACAAAAATTCCAACTTCAACATTAACTGCAGATAACTGTTAATTTGTCTCAGTCACGTTGTTAGAGCAACAAATACCGGCTTCTTTTGTGAAAAAAGATGATGAACTTTTATGGCGCTCTCTTCGGTCGGTTCGAGCAGGTTCCCTTGCTCCAGTCATGAACCTAGAATTTCCAGTTTACTCTCACATAGGTTCAAGCCTCGAACCAAATCATTAAATTCACTTGGACTGATAAAATGTGGTCGAAAACTTTGGGATCTAATCAGTGTTGGCTACTTAAGTGTACCGGATTCCGTTGAACTTAGTGACGCTTATATTTCAGAGCTGTCTGAACGTAATGGCACAGGAAAATTGTCACCATGTAATATCGGGGCGAAGATTGAAGGAAAATCAGGATAAAACATTTTTCAGCATTTTCACCACTCTAATTTGGATTAACCATATAAAAATAACAGTCATATTCGTGATCACTAGGTTCCTTCGGTTTTAGCTTCTATACAAAGCTACAAATAACATAAGCACGACTATTGTGATTAAAGTTTAGTCGACATTTTAAAAAATGTTAAATTTTCACACTGATGCTGATTTTTAGGGTTTAAATAGGCTTCATATCATTCGCAAAGTTTCCAGCTTGTTGACAAAGCAAATTTTTTACTTCTAACTTTAACGAATTCATCACAAATGAAACAAAATGAATCAACATCATATTTACACTGTCTTCAAGCCATTGCCTAATTGAGTACTACACAAATACAGTTGTTATAGCTTGATTCAAGTATACTTAACGACGTAAATCAGATAAAAGCAAACTTTATGAACTCCAAATGAATATTTGAATGTATCTTTTTTAAATGTCTAAAACATGAATCTACCCTTTTTTTGTTGATTAATGGTAACGTTTGACATCAACAAGTAGCCCGTGACATGGAGCACAAAATCGCACTTTCTTTAGGGCATCTTTTTTGATATTTTAGGTTAGGATGAAGATATTGAGATGCGGTTTTCTATTCTATTCATTTTGGATTTTTTTGCGATTATATAAGAAAATTCCACTTTTTGATAGATTATTTCGTAACAAAACGGAAAATTCCAGTTTCGGGCTCGGTCATAGGCGTAGGTAAATTTAACTTCCTTTAATAATAAGTACCCTTATCGCATTTTCAAATATTTGGAATTGAAGGAAAATAAATAATAATGAACGGAAACGGGACAGATGGAATTCGCGTATATATAAATTAATTAGCAGCAGAGCGGCTTTTGATCCGTCATTCCTTTCTTTCAAACAATAATTTTCTGCGAACGTGCGAGTGCGGAGGACAAAGAAATATGGCGCCGTCGTTTGAGTAAAGTCTGTTCATAGATATAAAATAGTGATGAACTGATACGAATTAAGGAATGACCCGGGCAAGCTGTAAGATTGAAATATGGCCGAACAGGTCCGTACTTTGCTTAGAATTTAATTATTTGGGGTTTTGTTAGGAAAGATGCTAAACAATATTTTTTTATTTATGTATTTGTGTATCACTATCGCTGTCATCGTCTGTTCTAATTATTATTTGCCCTATATTATTTGCAATATGGATATACGATTGTTCTGATTTTTCTATATGTTTAACAGAACTTGCCCAACTTTGTGGAGGGATGTTAAAAACTAATTATCATAATTATCTGTGTGTAGGTTCAAGCTTCGTAGAACCTCAGTTAATTGCTTTTTGGTATAATCTTCGTGAAAATAAATGTCGTTATTATGCATGTAATTTTGGATTGTTGCTTTTGTGTCACATGAGGACGGGGTTTTGGTCAACTGTCTACTGTGATAACTTACATTGTCCATTACAATGACGTTATTAGGAGAAATGTTTGGAACTAGTTTGTTTATAAACCAACTTTCAAATAAATCAGCGGTGGTATCTTCATGGTAATCCAGAGAAGAATCTTCAATATTTCTCGCAGATAGAGAAAGTCCATTTGGAATCGACCCATCTTTAGAGCCAGCATGCAAAATAGTTATTCTTTTACTTCTTTTTAATGACTCGTTTGTTTTACACTTATCAGTTGAGTCAACCCAACCCTTTTCCGGGGTATCATAAGTGTCGAACCAGGTTTCATCCAAGTCAAAAATTGGCCTTTGTTGTTCTCTGTAAATTCTATTTTTTTCTAGATATTCCAGTCGCCAATTCCGAATTCAAAAAGGTTTCCATACAGTTGATGTGGGAATTTTCGTCAATGTGGCCGTTTCGTCTAAAGATGCTTGCTTGCTGGCACCACGTTCAATGAGAGTCAAATAAACATTGTTTATAACTTCCTTAGTCTCAATAGTAATTGTTTTCTACATTTGGACGGGAGCATCATCTGAGATACACTAGACTCGCACATATTATGCATAATTCGCACAGGACCACAATTTTACCTGAATTTAAATTCAGAAATTTTAGGCAATAATCTTGTTGCATTGTATGTTAATGACCACTGCATTAATACATATTCTAACACTTGCCACAGCTTAGTTTATGGGACGATATCGTATTATTTTTGAAGGTCAATAAATACGATATGTGTCTCCATATCGTTTTGTTTTATTTATGGTGAATTCGTAATAGTTAGAAACAAAAAAAATTGCCGTGTTGACAAATTTGAAACTTCGCGAAGCCTTTGAAGCCAATTTTAATCTAAATTCAGTAATCAGGATCAAAACTAGGTACCAAACTATGCCTATATTAATTGTAAAAATACTTTAGAAGGTAACAAACTGAAATTTAACATTTTTGACAATGTCGAATAGTCACAATTGTTACTTATAGTTTGGCATGCTGATCAGGTCCATGTCTGTTATCAGTCTTTTCTAGCAAATTCTGTATTGCTGAAAGAAAACTATGACGGCTTGAAAATAATACTAGAAAAATTGAAATAGGTACACAGAACACCAGTGGTCAGCGACTGGTGCAGTGCAGTATCAACAGCGTATATGGCCTGTTCGAGACGAATTTTATATTGGAAATCAATTTGTAAAAGCTCTGAATCGGAATTCCGAAGTCTCTAACTATTTGAGAGAATTTTTTCCTAAGTTATATGAAGTTAAAGTTAAAGGGGTTACTTTCGTTAGAAAACAAGTAAAACGTTTAAAGTTAAACTACAAAATGTAGAGAGGTGTTCTAAGCTAATTTTTAAGTAAACAACTGACAGGGCTACCCTTTCGTTTATTGATTTTTTTCGGATTCTGTTTGGTTTTCGAGAAAAAAAACATTTTAATTTCTGACTACGCCACTCGACCCTACGTGAAAAACTGTAGCTAGACCGGTGGTCGCTTTTTCCATCGAAACCATCAAAAACGGGACACACTGTATATTTTACGCCCAATGAATGCGTACCAAACCTGCAAATTTTTGCAACTCAAAATTGCCGATAAATTCCCAATTGTACGGAAATATTAATTTTCCATTGGTTCCGTAAATACCGAATGAAATAAATAATGCCCGGTAAACGGTCCCTTGCAGTTTCGAAAGCTCAGCTAGGATCGATACGATTTTTTCCGAAAAAAAAAACGATTCCGCTTTATCACCCCTAATAAACACGGATATACAGGGTGTTTTCTAATTGTTTTGGGTCCATATTAAATTATATTTCTTCTAAATCGTGTATTTTGGCACAGCACAGTGATAAGACAATAGATATTCTACACAACGCATGTACGTTGTTTGGACGTAGTTAAAACTTGTGTTTGGTTAGTCATCTTCCCCTTCTTTGCTTTTTGGGCAAGTCAAGCAAGGCCACTCGCCCATTACCACGCGATACTACCCACAGAATAAAGTGGTCAATAAAAATCCTTGGGGTAACTTAAAACAATTTTATTGACGCTTTAGAATAATGTATGCATTTTTTTAAATAGAACACAATATTTTTAAATGTTGATATGGTCTGTTCATAGATATAAGAAAGTTACCAATTGCTTTTGAATCGGATTATCCAATGGTG